AAAAATTTAGTGATTTTTAATACTTTGGGGGTTTTTAGAGAAGAAACCCCCTCTTTACTGATGTGGTAAGGGCATAAGCATAGAACCCACTTTTGTAATTTTTTACTTGAACGCATGGACTACTAACATCTTGACTTGCGTTACGAACATACGGCTTTATAGAAACCACACATTTTATAATAATATAAAGTCGACTTTGAAATGAATTTTCTTTAGTTAAACTTTATTGTAGCGATCACTCCTAATAAGTGAATGTTACATATAGTTACTCAACGATAAATAACACAATAAAATCGTATATTGTCGTAGTATGTAGTAGTATGTTTTCTGTGTATAAAGTTGTATACTGTTTAATGTGGTTAATTATATTTATATCACAATTGCGAATTCCATTGTTAATGCATCTGATCACTTTACTAACTGCATTACTGCAGTTAAATTCTGACATAGCTGATTACAACCAAGCCTTTAGAAGTGTTATGTGTTAATCAAGTAGCGAAACGGTTTACTAAAATGGAAAATCAAACTCGAAATTCTACTGCCTTAAAATAGGAAACGTATGTCGGCGATTTTCAGTTCCATTACATACGCCAACATTTCACCAAAAACTGACTGATTCAATATTTTAGCACATTAGACTTCATATTCAACTCCTGATCGTTGCGTAACAAACAATTTACAGTACAAAATATATTAGCTCTTTAAAGTGCATGGATACCTTACTGACCAATGGTAACCTTTACTGCAAACTAACTATTCTGTTAACAAAATGAAAAAACGTTAAATTAAATTTTACCTTCACGAAACAAAATAAACCAGTTATCCTACTGATATTATAAGTAAGAAAGTTTGGATGTATGGATGGATGGATGTTTGTGACAAGTAAACGCGAAAAATACTAAAACGACAAGGTTGTAATTTGGTATGATGATAGCTGACATTCCCGATTAACATATAGACATCTTCTTACCTCAAAAATCTTTTCAGGCTCCGCCCCAGTGGCTCTGGCTCTGGTGTTTCTTATGTTAACCATATGAGTATTCATATTTAAAGAAATTAAAGAATTTTGTCCGCCGTTTCAACTGCACAAGTTGGTTCTATGATATTAAATAGCATTAAAAAGTTATAAGGCTTACCAAACAGGGTGCAGCACTATTATGTTTTTTTGCATTTATGACAACAGCTAATTTGAACCAACTAGCAACAAAAAGTTGTGGTACACAATGAGAACTTTACTGTTTTCTATGGTTTAGATGCAGTGGTAGAACATTTGGGCTATGGTAGATGTCTGCTACACGATATGATACTGTATAAATTAAAAGACCAAATTTTCTTAAACCGTGTCCTCTCCCATAACTGTAATTAGCATTTCATACTTATATGCCAACCCCGTACGAAGGACGGGTACTCTGCTAGTCTATTATAAATTCTTGCCAATGAATGATAAGACAAACTTACAATATGATGATCATTAGAACACTTTCTCAATATATTTTGTTTATTAACCCATAAAACTCGATGATATCAAGCTTCCGAAGTCGTGCTTGTTTTTGAACAAAAATTTGAAAAATAAACACCAACTGAAACCTTACAGTTCACAGATAAATCATTCTAGTAAAAGAATTACACAAAATAAAAATAACAATCCAACCCTGTTAAACAGCTCTATCTTATTCATACAATATACAGCATCTTTTCGGCATCTTTAATTGAATGCCGAAGATGAAGATGAAGAAGATGAACAGATTTAACAGATATATCTACTAAACTATGAACAATGTTTTTCAAAAAGATGGTAATTTTTATATTCTATTGTAAAATATGAAGCCTTTCTTGTGAGGGTTTACAACCCAGTTTACAGACCAAAAGTATATCTTTTCATTTTCGGGGTAAATTTACAGTATGTGCTTTACCCAGTAGCTCAATATTGCTAATCGTTTGGTCTTAGTAGTTGAAAGAATTGACTAGAAACCAAACGCTGTTAACTACTGATACAAAAATACCTTAAAACTGACTTCAGGTCATAAAAACAGTAAATCGTTGGAGGTTATAAATTTGATTGAAGTGACGAATACGCTTAAGTAATGAATTTAACGTTATTCTACCCAGGATTACGAATAAAAACATCGTACCTAGATAGAATATAATTCTTAGTGTTCATACAATATACTCGTATTATTTACTAGCAGAGTACCCGTCCTTCGTACGGGGTTGGCGTATAAGTATTTAAAATGTTTTTTGCAGTTATGCCCAAGCTTTCGGTTTGCAATGGGAGAGGACACTGTTTAATAAAATTTGGTTCTTTTAATTTTAGGTATGCTATATTATAGCACATCTACCATAGTTATCATGTTCTACCACTGCACCTAAACGAAAAAAAGGTAAAGTAAAGTTCTCATTGTGTATCACTTGCTTGGTTCAAATTAGCTGTTGTCATAAATTCCAAAAGATTTTTAGTGCTGCACCCTGTTGGTAAACTTTATAACTTTATTTTGCTATTGAATATCATCATAGAACCAACTGGTGCAGTTGAAACAGCTGACTAAATTCTTTAATTCCTTTTAAATATAAATACTCATAAGATTAACATGGGAAACTTCAGAGCCAGTGGGGCAGAGTCCTAAAGGAGTTTTGAGTAGGAATATGTATATATGTTAATCGGGAACGTGAGCTATCATCATACCAAATTTCAGCCCAATCCGACCAGTATTTAATGCGTGATTGAACTTCAAACAAACAAACAAACGAACAAACAAACAAACAAACGAACAAACAAACTAATAAACAAACAAACAAACAACCACACAAACTTTTACATTTATAATATTAGTTCGATTTACAGCTACACTTGTTGAAATATATACGCAAGGAAGTAAGGTACATGCTGTGGCAAGGGTATTACGGTATTACTGTTCCACATTTTTGTATAATTGCTTGACACACTTGTAAAAGCAGTCGTTGCTTCATTTTTCTGAGTAAACTTAAGTAACTTTCTTTTTTTCATTGTAGTAATTCCGTAAGTTTGTCCGTGCTCTTTTTGCTCTTAAGTAATGTTTGATGAATCAAAACCATGCTTCGTGAAATTTTAGATTTTTTATTAAGTAAATAAGTTGGTTTTACAGTAAGCGATTAGAACGAAGCAAACCAACGAATGCAACTACACACTTAAAAAAGAATATATACTGTCCATCTGTAACTTAAAGACCCTTTGAACACTTTACTTATATAACCCTTATAATTACGAAGGAAATGTAATTAAAACATACATACACGATAAAATACAAGATGCCATTTTGTTAGTAGGTACATTTGAAATACAATATATTGTAACTTAATTTAAAGCCGTTCCTTGTCCTATTTATCAAATACACGATGAATTTGTTCTGTATTGTCAGAACAAAATTACATGTGTGCACGTATAATAAAACTCATCTTAAATAAGGATTTGGAAAATCTTTTGAGCTGGTACTGTTAATCTTACTTACTAATATTATAAATCTGAAAGTTTGTGAGTTTGTGTGTATGTTTGTGTGTATGTTTGTGTGTGTGTTTGTGTGTGTGTTTGTTGCTCAATCACGCATAAACTACTGGACGGATTGGGCTGAAATTTGGCATGATGATAGCTCACATTCCCGATTAACATTAAAGCATATTCTTATCTCAAAGACCCTTTCGGGCTCCGCCCCAGTGGCTCTGTAGTTCCCCATGTTAATCTTATGATTTTTCATATTTAAAAGGAATTAATGAATCTTAACAGCTGTCTCAATTAAACAAGTTGGTTCTGTTCTATGATGTTCAACAGCATAAAAGTTTCAAGGATTACCAACAGGGTGCAGCACTATTTTTTTTTTTTTTATTTATGACAACAGCTAATTTCCAACCAAAAGGTGAGTGAGCGTAGCGAACGAACTTCAACCTTGAGGCGAGTTAGCGTAGCGAACGAGCTAACCTGAAGGCAAGTGAGCGCAGCGAACGAGCTCCAACCTAAAGGTGAGTGAGCGTAGCGAACGAACTTCAACCAGGACGTGAATGAGCCATGCGAATACTTATGAAGCTAAACGGGGCGAAGCCCGCGGGTACAGCTAGTAGTTTCATAAAAACATCATGGTTTATTTTAAATGAAATAAACCACACATGTGGTTTATGTTTAACAACAACTAAACTTTTGGTAACTTTAGGTTTTGTTATTTGTGCGAAAAAGCCTTATAATTTTAAAACCCCAATTAAAAAAATATAATTCAATACTTCAGGTGCACATAGAGCATTACAACGCTTTCATACGTTTTAGGCATAATTTGGTTGAAGTAACAAATATCCTGTCTTTGTAAATGTTTAAATACTTTGAGAGACGCCCTAGCATACTATGAGGCGGGAATACAGAATGAAGAAGTAATGTTATTCAAACCCTTATTGCAAAATTATTAGTTGAATGAAACGTAACGAAATATAAAATAGTTACAATATGCAGGGTACCAAATACAACGGATTTGCGTAGATGAAGCTGTAAATATGATGGTAAAGAGTAGTAGCATCTACGGAATACTTAGCCCTTACAAGCTTTACAATTATTTTTTACTTTTCACGAATAGTTAATTTGTAAATTTACATATTCCTAAGAACAAAATAAACTTTAAAATGGTGTTAACAAAAATTAAGGGGAAAGTTTTCTCAGGAAACCAAATTTCACACACCCATGTTGGGGTATTTTCAACATTTGTGAACCATGATTAGAAATTCAAAATATAAAATATGCAGCTTTACATAAACATATATTATTATAAACCAAACGTCTTCATTGAACAAGGGTTTGGCAAGTGTTCAATTATGTATCTTTCTTGATTATGGATTAATTAGATTTAAATCCATATCGGAAATGTAAAATATTTTATAACTTCTAGTACAAAAAGCTTTGTGAATGTTAAAAGTTATAATAATACTGTACAACGTTTTTGGGTTGGCTCCATTAGGAGAAGGTACAAATACATCATAACAACAAAGAATAAGTTTTGTACAAAATTGTATTTGGCAAAATATAAAAATATACAACTAATGAGATGTCATATGTACAATGGAATGGAGAATTAAAAAATCCTAATTTGTTTAGTACTTCTATTAAGGCGCAGGAGCGGGGTAGGCGGGCTTGGGGTACGCTGGGGCGGGAGCGTAGGCGGGAGCTGGGGCGTAAGCGGGCTTAGGGGCGTAAGCTGGAGCGGGGGCGTAGGCAGGTGCTGGGGCGTAAGCAGGTGCGGGAGTGTAAGCAGGTGCTGGGGCGTAAGCGGGCTTAGGGGCGTAAGCTGGAGCGGGAGCGTAGCCCTTGCCGGGTTCCTTGGTGACAACAGCTTCGAAACCGTATCCGTTGTCGGCGTAGGTGACGATCCTCTTGGTGCCGTCGGGCTCGTACAGCTCGTAGACTCCCTTGACGTAGTCTCCGTCGCGCTCCTCCTTCTGGCTCTTGATGTCGTAGGTGCTGTCGTCATGGACGGCGTACTCGAAGGCGTACTTGGGGTAAGCGGGCTCAGGCTCGGGGTACTTGGGTGCGTAGGCCTTGGGTGCGTAGGGTGCTGGGGCCGGGGCGTAAGGAGCAGGGGCCGGAGCGTAGGGGGCTGGAGCCGGGGCGTAAGGCTTGGGTGCGTACTGCGGGGCAGCAGTGGCAACAGCCAGCAGGCAAGCGGCGGCGAAGATCTGGAAATAACCCGATTTAATTAGTTTTATCAATAAATGTTTTAGTTATATTAAAAGGTTTTGTACCTGGATTGATGGCCGTTAATGGTCATGCACTCGTAATTCTTTGAATTCTTTATAGAATTTACTGTTAACTGTTTTTAAACCACTACTTTCATTTTATAATGTCCTGTTATCTCAAGCAAATAATGTTATTTGGCTGTTGTTTTTGTTTCAAGGCAATGATAAAAAACGATTTTGGAACACTTTCTTTCTTCTAAAAAATGCCTGCTTCATAATTACTTTAAATAAATTATTTGTGTGCTAAAATACTTGACATATTTTAGCCTTTGTAAATTAATACCCATACTCCCTTAGTTGAGACAGAGATACCCCCTAATCTTATTAATCCTTTTAGAGCTATCCTTCGTATGGCCGAAACACAGTTAAAAAATCCAATATTCCTAATAAACGTTGTTAAACAGATGAGATGTATGATATAAAGTCAGGAATTAAACTTGCCTTCTAATTCAATTCAATCATAATTTGATAACTTCAGACGATGAGTAAAGATAACAAATAAAATAGTGTAGACTTTAAACGATGTCCTACTTTAACTTTCACAGCTAGTTAATCATGCCTTTCGTATAATGATACCTATGAAGTTTTAGTGCCATGGTTATTATATTATATTACCGTGATTTATTTTAGTCGATAATACTTTTTAGAAGTATACAAAAATCATATTTTCTATTACTCGTTAATTTTATTACATTGAAAAACAAGGTTTTATAATTGTTTAAACATTTTTTTACTGCATGTTAAAACTTATTAAGATTGTCTTAAACGAGATATGGGAAAACCCATTAATAATACGCTATTCCTCTCTTAAAGCTACACTAATACTAGCAAAGTTTAAAAATTAAGTAAAATCTTCATTTAAAGTTAACAAATTGTTTCAAATCGTACAAGAACACTGTATTTTCTTTCCAACCACCGCAATAAAATGAAACAACTTAAATATTATTATAAATTGACGTAGTATTATCAACTAGAATAGATCATGACCGAATACAATAGCTTACATTATTGGGATGTTTATATCGCCGTATAGAGTTTTTGTACATTTATTTATATTTGTACAACGTATTTACCACTTGTTACTAGTAGAGCATCGTATCACATAAAGCATGTTTAGATTGCTAGAATAAAAAAATATATAAATGATTGTTTATTTGACTTGGTTTATTATCCAACGTTTATCACTAGTTTTTACAGTTTATGTTTTGTACTACATATTTAAAATCTCCGAAATGATAAGCAACATGTTTAACCTACAAGTAATATATAGTTATAATAATTTTACTTCTAAACGCCATAATTTAATTTATATTTTATCATGAACTTAAAACGCGTTGGTTTGGGTTTGTAAAACGTGTGAGTTGTGTGGTAGTACACGTAATGTGTAGGATTTTTATAATGTTAATTTTTTCAAATTATTATTTAACAATATGGTTTTTTTATTTAAAAACTTTAATAGACTTTCTGACTTCTTACTAAACCCCAAAGGTGGATTGCATGCCCCTAGTATTTAATTTGCGTACTCACAGCACGAACTTATAAACTATGAATTAACTATTTATTCCTCCTAATCCTAATAATAATAACACTTTTTAACACTTAGAATAAATAACACTGTTCACTGATAATCACTCCACAAGCACTGTTCACCCACCTTGAAAGCCATGATCACAGTTGTGCAGTACCGTATGACACCCTGCTAACACCGGCCGGTATATATACTTAGGGCTTTAGGCGATTGAGGTGGGGAGGGGGCGCGGCCTTTCACCATTTGCGAATTCGTCCACGTGGTTCGCACGTGGTGGCCCGCGAGGACTTTAAGATCTAGGTTAGCTGGACCATTTGAATATGCGGTCTAGATTCGAAGTTTAGTCATCGAAGCAGCTATTGGTCAAACATGAATGAGAATATCGATGAATAGTTTACCCGAAAAGTTCTGGGGAAAACCGGTCATTTGTCAATCTTTGAACTGCCATACAAAAATATTTGTAGTTAATAATTCGATAGAATTTATATTTAAAAGCAATTTACTTTATTTTAAAAAGTAATTCTCTGATATTATTATCTTGATATTAGTATCTAAAATAATAAATGTAACGATGGTAAGTACATACGATCCGGGGTTTGAAGATTTTTCTGGCAAATAAATTATTTATTCCTCTTTGGGTTGTAAAACTTTTCATTTATCTCAAGAATATCCTTTCAAACAAAATTTTTAAAATATCTGTTTTAGTCTGCCTCTCAATGGAATATTCTGTCGTCCCTATATGTTTCGCAATGTAACCTTTTAATACTAACCCATTAACATGAATAAATAAATCACTAAGTATATAAAAGGCATCTTATATTCCTAACGTAAGTTCGACTAAGCATTCGACTTCGTTTACAGAGATGTGTTTTCTTCAATCAGTGATGTCCTGTGGATGATACACTTTTAAATGTTTTCAGTTTTATATAAAGTAAAACATCCTTCTCAATTGCAAATTGGATAATTTTGTATATAAACTTACGTACTCGGCCAACATAAACTCGATTATTGAAAAAAACTAAAGAAATTACTTTAACATAGGTTGAATATATGCTAGAAATGTTTTTGAAAACAAGATTTGGGATCAATGGAATCCCAAAGTAAGATTGAGGATGGATCCGTTTGATTTCCATATGATTAAAATACATGTAGATTAAATGTGTGCATGTAGATTAAATGTGTGCATGTAGATTAAATGTGGGTTTAGGAAAATGCTTGACATCTTACCTATACAGTTACCAGTTAACTTTAATGCACACCTTAAAGTTTAAGTTTTTATTTGTATAATTAAATATTTTTGTCTCTATGGAAGAATTATTTCAACGAAATTTTCTTCTAAAATGTTTCATGTTGAGCCATTAATAAATTCTACACAAAATGTAGGCCGTCATAAAATTATTTATAATAATACGTAAGATGTAGTGCTTTGATTAGTGGATGTATCGTTACTAGTTGAAAACTTAAAGAACGTGTCTAGGTCAATGATTTGCTATAATCCTTCGATTCGTAAATAATGTTATTCACAACTGATCAAGAAACCATTAACAGAAATGTATAAACCATAGTGTAACCAGACCACATCCCAACGAATTCAGGTTGGGTTATTTAATAGCACTTAATCAACGAGTATTCAAATTGGTTGTGCAACTACAGCCCAAATATCGCCACTCAGGTATGTGCCAGTCGTAGGTCAGTGTCACAGGCGGTAAACTCACCCAAGTTCACCTTTCACCGGCGCTGCGGCTGATTCAATAACTCAACAACTTGCACTGTTAAATAACTCAACAACTTATTGTACAAAGTTCAGTAACTTGCGAATATGTTGCGGCTCTCGTAGGCAGCACCGCGGACTTACAACTGTTGCACAATTCGCTTCGATTCGATATTAATGGGTATTGCAGATCGGTTTAGATAGTAAGTACTATTTTACCTGTGGCTGCGTGCGATAGACTGTATCTCTAGCCGGGCTCGTTCAACTGGATTTGTACTTGCAATTTTATTAGAGCATTCTGTGCAAAGCGATACGTGTCTTATGGCTACCGTAACTTTTTCTTTTTCTTTAGGGTTTTCATGCACGTGATTAAAGTTTGGCTGCTATTATTTGTGTAAACTTGTAAGGAAAATAGATTTGTCCTTATGCTAATACTGGGGGGGCGGCTAGTACGGATCGAGTGATGGACTCTGTCCCAGAAGTCTCGGGTTCAAATCCTGCTCGTCACCAATGTACATTAGCCATTTGATGAATCCGCTCTTTAGAACCCACCTCAAGCTGTAATCCACCCATTTTTCTTAAATAGTGAATAATTGTCGTTACATTAATTTTACAATGTTTCGAAGTTTTTAAAATTTAGCTCTTTATCATTTTCCCACGCTAGGTAGGTGCTGAATAAAGTGTAATGTGTGTGTGCCTATGACTATGGACATATCCATAAGAACCAGCTTTTTCCCATGTTTGAGTATGGATTGTAAGGAACCATACATCCTATGATGAACTATGACACTGTGAATCTGGTATGTAGCCCACGTAATGCCGCGTCACGGTACTTGTCGGCGATCGAATTTGATTCTGTCACTCTGTTTACAAACATTTGTCGGTTTATTTTACACAGATTAACGAGATAAATGAGTTAGGTAGAGATGTCACATCACACTCATTAGTACGTTCAATAAACTTTATTCTGCTTCCATCCTGACACAATTCATGATAATTCGAACAATGACAGGGTGTATTATGATGAATTTACATGTCACAGTGTCAACGGGCCCCCGTACTTTGAACGTATTAATCATTTACTGCCCCTACACTAAACGCGTGTATTTTTAGTTACTATTAAATATCGAATAAATATAATGTATATTATTAGATTTTTTAGGTACTGGAAAGTTTAAAAAACGCATTTACTAGCACAGTAATTATTCTTAATCTAAATATGAAATTTTTCCTTTTTCTCTTGTTTTTGTAATCAAACACATGCATCTTTCTAATGGGTTATTTCCTGCTTTACATGTTTTATTTAACCTTCAGACTTAAGACTACAGTAGATTTCAGGCTTTCATTGTGGAGAATACTTTGTCATACTTTTCTGAAGTAGCTTTGAACAAAAAGCATACTACTAATTATAATAATTAATTATTCTTCTGATTTAATGATTTTTGTAGGGTATAAAGTTGTTCATCTCACACAAAATAATACTTTTCATAACATATATCAAATTCTCAATTTCTCAATTTCTGGAAAGAAGAATATTGGGACACAGCGCAAAAGTCAATAATGGTAATTGGTTAAAGCTGGAAATTTCATCTTAAACTATAAAATGTGAATACTGATAAATTCACTCTACCTTTAATATAATCATTAGTATATCGCAGCCTCTCACTATTTCTACTTCACCTACTGGTTTCATGAACTACCCTTTGCATTAAAACCCTGTGTAAAGTGGTCAAACAAACGGAAATGTTATACTTATAACCCACAATCATCGTGTTTTATCGTTGTTTATACTTAACAACGATTAATTAAAATTAAATGTTATCCCCGATCTGTGATGTAACTAAAAAATAGGGTCTAACTTTTGTCTACAATGAGTTGTAACTAACTTTTTTGACGTCTGATGATGCCGAAACGGTCGTAACGAAAGTCTATTGAGCTGTAGACGAAAGGTAAACCCTATTTTATTTGGTAACAACGATTTAATAAAAAATGTGCACAGTCATTTTTAAGAACTGAATATTTATGTCATATATTGTTTGCTCTTCTTCAATAATGTATAAATATATTTTTCTTCTTATTTGAAATGTGTCAGTCCAGAGAGCTAAACCACTACTAAAACTGAGGCCTTTTTAGGGCTATGTCCTCTTCAGCAAGGGGAATAGATAAACCATGCAATTAAACAAAATGATTAAGAAAGTACTCAAAATTTTTGTCTTCAAATTATCACGAAAATAATTAGAGTTCCTGATGTGGTAAACCCTGCCAATTAAATATGTTATTACATGTGTATGATACCAAAAACCATCATTTTACAAGTATGTGTGACTTTTTATTCAGTTTGATTGTTTTTCAGTGTGATTTTATTCACTATTATTGTACTTTGATGTTATTCCTAATTTCGTTAAACACTCTACATTTAAATTTGTTTACTTAGGATAATCTGCTTTGTGTTTCTGTACGATAGTTTAAAAATTAAAACATATATGCGTCAATATCTGCTCACCAAAGATTCTTCAATGACTTATGGAAAAAGCGCAGCTGAAGTCACTAGTATTGCTATTACAGTTGTTTCTGTTTAAGGGCTCGGATTATGTAACTGGCTTTTATGGACTTGGGTAAAACCATTTCTCCGCTCATATTATACTATGCTTTGAGTTAAGTTAATATATTATGCTCTCTTTTATTCGAAAAAAAAACTCTCTTTCGAGTCGAAGTTTTCAGTCGAAGAGCTGCAATTTACTTAAACAGTTATACAATCCAATATTATTGTTTTCATCTGATAACGGTTTAAGCGGCTTCTTAAAATAGTACTATACACTTAATGTAATTGTATAAACCCTTAACATAATTTTAAAATAAAGTGTTGTATATCTTACACCAGTATGGATCGACAACTTTATTTTGCATTGAATGTAACAGATAAAGCATTGTTTGACATAGTGAAATATATTTTAACATTTTGCTTATGGCAATCAAACTTCATTGCTGTTATTGCTGATGTTATCAAAGCGTTGAAGCAGCTAAGAGTTTGGATTTGTTGACTACTGATTCATCAACTTTGCAGGTTTTATTTTTCTCCTTAGAATAGAATATCTTCAAAAAGGATTGTTTTACTCCGACTGGTTAAAAACTCACCATACACACGAACACATATAATTCAATCTAAATCAATTTAACTAACTATTTCGTTAGGGACTTTAACCTATAATTATGATATAACCGAATGTGGTAATAGTAATACACTATTAAGTAGGTTTTATAGAAAATGTATTTGGTAAAGTAATACAAAAATATACAACTAGTGATTCATGTCATATATACAGGAAGATGGAGATGAAAATTGGAAGTAACTAGTTTTATCACAGGTTTAGTACTTCTTGTAAGGAGCAGGAGCAGGGTAAGCGGGCTTGGGGTACGCGGGAGCGGGGGCGTATGGGGCGGGTGCAGGAGCGTAAGGGGCAGGGGCAGGAGCGTAAGGAGCAGGGGCAAGAGCGTAAGGCTTAGGAGCGTAAGCGGGCTTGGGGGCGTAAGCCGGGGCGGGAGCGTATCCCTTGCCGGGCTCCTTGTGGACAACAGCCTGGAAACCATATCCGTCGTCGGAGTACTCGACGATCCTCTTGCTACCGTCGGGCTCGTACAGCTCGTAGACTCCCTTGACGTAGTCTCCGTCGCGCTCCTCGTGCTGGCTCTTGATGTCGTAGGTGTGCTCATCGTTGACGGCGTAGTCGAAAGCGTACTTGGGGTGTGCGTCGTAGGGCTCAGGCTCAGCGTACTTGGGGGCGTAAGGCTTGGGAGCGTAAGGAGCAGGGGCAGGAGCGTAGGGGGCAGGAGCAGGAGCGTAAGGCTTAGGGGCGTAAGGAGCAGGGGCAGGGGCGTAAGGCTTGGGAGCGTATGGGGCAGGGGCAGGAGCGTAAGGCTTGGGGGCGTAAGGAGCAGGAGCGTACTGCGGCGCAGCGGCGGCTACAGCCAGCAGACAGGCGGCGACGAAAACCTGTCAACACAAATGAACTTATAATGAGATGTTGAAAAACCTGCACTCTCTGAAACAATAATACTATAACTACAACTATAGCAACTACTTTGGCATACATATTGAAATCAAACCTACCTTATACTTTTAAATAACCTATGTTGTAGGAATAACACGATTCATTTCGTAATTTTTAGTGTATTCGTAATCTTGTTATAAGTCATTTAAATACTCGTTTGTTATTTTACAACACATCGTTAAATGTTTTGCCCTTTAAGTCCAAACATTCTATTGCATAATAAGGGCATAAATTCTGGACTTTTAGTTTTTGAAAGGTTTTCATCGCTACTCAACCCAAATAAAAAACAAAGTTTAGTGCAATAAAATCCAGCATAGTTAATGTAATCTTAATATTACTGTATTGATCGTCCAGGAAAGGTTTGACGTTTGATTCAAATGTGGTTTTGGTACGATGTTTGGCACAATTCACAATGACGTCTATCAAATTTATGTTTACGTACTACCTTGTATATTCTTTGCTGAAGTTAACGCAATATAATTGGAACTGTTTAAGATTATTATTTATTTGAAATCCTGTAGTTCGAGGTACCTAATTGAAATATATGTTTATGAAGCATTACAACCATACTTAGGCCTACTAATAATTTACATGTTTACTAAAAATCTCAGAATCATGAAATAATATCCATTTTTAAACTTTAATATACATTTATTTAGTAAGTTTGATTTTTAATGATTTCCCATCCTCGTTAAACTCTTATTTAATTTACAAGTTTTAGTTTTTAAGATGTTACTGTACAGGAACATTTTGTTCAATGAATAAGAAGAAAGATTTTGTGTGGAATAAAACAAATATATCTGTACCTGGATACAAATTAGAATATTCTTTCAATTAACAGATGTTTATATACTTTTTGGTCTACTTTTAAAATATACTTTCTTTTTCTTTTAACAAAATAAATATTTTTGTGCTGCCGTTTTTGTATTTAGTATCTGCATAGTACGTATTTTGAACACACATCTAAAATAATTATTCAGATTTTTATCCTGATTACTCTAATTATTTTGATGTTAAAATATATGTTTAAAGAACATATCTAATTGAATACAGTTTACTATCTTAAAGGTCTTAAACATCAGTATTTTCATTAGTTTGTTTGAAAAAATAGTGTACCTTTTATGATTGTGAATATCATATCAGTGTACAAGTTAGTACTCTTAGGCTTGTTTTTATCTTATTAATAATAAATAATTTAAATACAATAAGTCCCTGCAAACTTAATTTCTTCTTACATTGTAAACATTATTTGTCAAAATAAAATTCTTTGTATTTAATTTAATTTTTTGCCATAGGTAACTGTCAAGTTTTAAAACGTCCTAGGGTTAAGCAGTTTTTACTCTAGGCTATTAATGTAGTTTATGCCTTGATAAGTTAAGTTAACGAGCCGGTATATTTTTTCTCGTTGGTTTTAACACACCGTTAGTATTTTTATCTGTAATAATGACATAACTATTATATCTAACTTATAATATATCTTAATATATTCTCACATAGTGTGACAACATTTCCGAAGTCGTATTGCTTATGTGTAAGTTTCCCTTAGTAAATCGCAAAAATTGTCCTACAATAACATAACCAACCTTAATGATACTAAACAAAAAACTGAAAAGAATCGTAGCGAATCGCTTGTGTGGGACATTGCTAAAAACCTTTAATTCCAGAGTTTGCCGGTTTGGACCCGAGCCGGCTTAATTTGAAACTAGATTGATTTTACATTCGGCTATAAATTGATGCTACTAAATAAAACTGCCTTTCAAAAATAATATTCCTAAGTGTTCAAACAATTACATTCCGCCAATCATAAGCACTACAAAAAGCTAACTTCTTTTCATAAAAACTCAAGTAGCATGAAGTGCAGATACATATAAACTTATCGAATCCTTAAACTAAACTTAACCGATAAACACTTTGACACAAACACTTTTTAAAACACTACACAAATCCAAGCACTGAGCACTGTTCACCCACCTTGAAAGCCATGATCACAGTTGTGCAGTACCGTATGACACCCTGCTAACACCGGCCGGTATATATACTTAGGGCTTTAGGCGGCCAGGGTGGGGAGGGGGCGCGGCCTTTCTATCAGTGCGAAATTCTTTGCACGTGCCGAAAGGGCCGCAAGCAAGGTTAATCGCAACTAGGTTACCGAATTTGAATAGCTAATGCTAGTTAGGTTTTTTTGCTAGTTAGGTTGTCTAAGATAATGTCTCCATTAATCTAGGACCACATAGTTGAAATAGCGAATTCTGCTAATGGTAAATCTCCCCCCTCCTCTGCCTGTAGGACATATACACGTGTTTGCAGATCCGCCCCCTGCTGTTACGGCGCGGCGCGGGGCCGGTTCGATCCCCGGCGGCGATCACATTCTATGTTATTGTGTCACAATAATGTTGTGGTAAACTTCATTTTCCAGTGACGCAATGGTTGGTCACATTACCTCTGTGCAATATGGCCTGACCTTATTGCCGATCTGAACCAGTTTTTGCAAAGCTGTAATTATTGATAAGGAAATTTCGGGAGTTTCACTAGATTGACATATATTAGGACCACAGTATTATGGTCAAGGTTCTAGTTTGCAAAGGTGATTATTAACACGTATACATAAAAGTTAAAACAATAAATTTGTAACCACTTAGTACGAATATGAAAATTTGTCATGCCTCTTTAGTGGGGAAATGTGTGTAAGTCTACACACCAAACCACAGACCGTTAAAGTCTCTGTCATTTTCTTTTGGTCATAAAATCGCATTACTCTCCGGTTACTGTAACAAACGTTCATTTCAATCACACAATATTCTAAGTAAAATTTTCGGTTTGCAAGTATGAAATAGGTAATTCTTAACCATTTATTATGTAAGCTTTTTATGTTAAAATTGCATTTTAAGATGTCTGCAACTGCAAACCTACCTGAGACTTATGAATAATATTCCAGAAATATTAGTTTACCTAATGAAATGTAATAACCGAATTTGCAGCAGTTATATTTTGATGTATATCACTTTAAATAAATAAACATTTCCATTTAAGGCTTCAACCATTGCCTTTTGGACACCATTGTGTAGATATCCCTTCTCTGTTGCGCAACTGTAGCGAGGTTTTATTCAATTACTAGTGTCCCTGTTGCTCGAATTCGGGCAATTGTTAAGTATTACAGGCGTCATTTTAAAACGAATAACAGTCGTAATTTTCAATGTTAATCTTATTGAGAAATACGAAATTTAAAGGGCACCAGGGCCTCACTCTCAATTTTTTGCCTAAAAATAAAGTTGCCTGCACAACTTCGCGTTACGCTCTTTCCAATGACACCAAAAACATGTCAATCGGGTCAGTAGTGTCGGAGGAGTAATTGTCACAAAAATCCTGCTTGCGTATTAAATAAGTATGAGAGCTCACCCCGTGGTAAAAAACTTGACCAAAAGTATGTATTGTGCAAACTTCTCTATTTTAACCCCACGCAGTAAATAAAACATGCTATTAGAATTTCTTCTATAACCTTCTTTTGGTACAACGCGCGTGTAAATCGGCCCAGTAATATGGCCAGGCTCCCAGGCTAATTGTCATAAGTTTTCCAAAAGCGTTTTAATATATAAGATTCACTAAAGGAATAGTAAACTTTTCAGGCACATGGGGAACATTTCATTTAACACAACCTGAATGTAAATCTGTCCAAGATCTCCAGATCTCACTCCTATTAGACTTAAAATTTTACCCCATGTTAAATTGTAAATAGATTTTTTAATATCTGTTTTTATAACACTTAGTCAAGTAATATCGGAAATCGAAGCAAAATGGACAAATATAGAGACAATTACACTAAGTACCAACCGCGTGTAATTCGGTCCAGTATTATGGTCGCTGTCGTAAGCTTTAAAATGTTGTCCCATGTTAAATCTCCATAAGAAAAGTCTCCATATGTATTTTTATATAATATGTTCCTAGAGGTCGCTCCATGTGTGAAAACCCTACTTAAATAATGTACAGACTTCTCTATTTTCCCCACACATTGTAAATAAAACATGTGATTGGAATATCTTCCATTTGTTTTGATTTTCTGTTTATATTTTGTTGTTATTTCGTCATCACCATGGCAACCCACAAGACCCATGTTATTTTTTTAGATTTCAAACTAATTTTTTGTGCTTATTTGTGAGCCTAATTCAATTTATAAAGGGATTCTGCACATCTACAGGTAAATATCTTTCATTTGGTACCAACCACGTGTAATTCAGTCCAGTGGTATGGTCAGGCTAGCTGTCATAAGTTTTGCAAAGGTTTTTTAGTATATGAGATAGATTTCGATTTTGATTTTCGATATAGGCTAAATTTGACGTAACATTTACTTTAGTTTAATTGTACTTATGCTGTTGTTTCAGTTATGTCCAATTGAAAAGTTGACATATTCCACATTATTACAGTATTACTAATTGACTACTAATAGTACTAATTGATACATACGGAAATGTCGGGGGATCAACTACATTTATTGTCATTCTAACTCTAGAACATGAGATGTTGTTTACAGCTTTCAACAGTCAAAAGTTAAAATTAACGATACGTACTTAATATTTTAATGGTCGTGGTGTAATAAACCCCTATATTCTCAAGCTAAATATAGAAATCACACATTTCAACTCGTTATTCAATTTATGTTCAAATAGATTTGAGTGAAAACTTATATGTAATTAAAAAATATGATTTTTTATGCATTAACATCAGTGTTTGAGGTACTCAAAAGCAATGAAATATCGCTAATTTATCATGTTATCCCAAAAGCTGAATATTTTGGCTCTTTTCCAATAAGCAGCAGCACAGTTACCTGAAGCAGTTCTGCCAGGTGTTGCAACGGTCGTTTTGGTGGCTGTAATTTGTTAAACGATTATGGCAAACCAGTTGTCCAAGTTAGAATGCTCTCATCTATATTTTTAGCCGAATACTAACTGCCGCCAACAGTTTCTTTTAAAACTGGGCTAAAGTGTTGTTAGATAACTTGTTTAGTGATAACTTTTATTTGTTACTGAAACCAAGTTTATAGGTTTGTACGTTATTAAGTGAGTTAATTTTTTTATTGTCATCATAATAAGAATCATTCTGTATTGGTAAAGTTGAACTAGTTTTTTACCGGTAAGTTTACCTAATATTAATATATCTCAATAAAGGATGAATACGCATTTTTTATTGTTAAATAAATGACTGTTGCTTTGAAATGCTAGTCTTGATAAACGACAAAGATACATAACAGAAACTTCTTTCACACCTTTATCTCATTTAAGCATTGCTAATGTCATTAGGTTCAAGCACCAATTGTAACTCAACAAAGTTTACGAAAAATAACGGCAAACAACTTAATGCATTACAATCAGTTAGGTGTGAATATTAAATGAATCTTTTTAACTTGTGATAAGTAAGTGATTACTTACGGAACGGCTTTAGTCTGCTAAACAATGTAATCCGTGGACAAGCCTGGGAACCGGTTTGGGTTATTATACGCTAATTTCCACACATTGGCGAATGTAGTCGATAATGGTTTTAGATCTCACATAATCGTATGTGTAGTCTCCTTTTCGCTCGTGGAATGCTATGCCTAGAGTATAAGAATTAAGTACAAGTTTAGAGTAACAATTGTAATACGATTCACAGAGTACTTGTACTGGTACTTCTCGACCTCTTTTACAACTTGTGTGACCCCGAGGTTAGACGTCCATTCTTAATGAAATCCAAAGCATACCAGACCTTAGTTATACAGTAGCAGGAACCATTCGTAACCATCAACTACGCTTTACTATTTTTAAATAATATTCTATTATAAAAATCTTCGACTTCAATTCAAATTAATTTTGTTTTTAAGACCAAATTATTAAAATTAAACTTATTTGTATTGGTTTAATCTACTCCTTTTGTTCGACTACCTATAGATGTGTCATAAAGTATAAAGTACCGTTAACTAAGGCATTTGCAATGACTTTTCTGTGGTGGTCATAAAGTGCATAATACCATTAACTAAGGCAAATGCAATGAGCTTTTCTGTGGTGGTCATAAAGTGCATAATACCATTAACTAAGGCAACTGTAAGGAGGCTTTTCTGTGGTCTCTTCTCATCATATCGTATCCAAATTGGTTTTATTATATCCGGAATTCTAAACGAACATCATTAAAGGTGATGTTCAAATGTCACTCCTTTACATTTTACAGGTTTTCCTTGCATATTCGATCATAGCAGAGTACAATATTGACGGTTAAAATAATCACGTTTTTATACGAGTCGATGTTGGTTTACTCTTAAGATATCGATAGCAAACAAAACTCATATCCATAACGATAAAATATTATTTTTAGAATACTTTGGATGTTTAATCCAATCTAATACTTTATGGTAACACCTTTTATGGCACAACTCTATGTAATACCATACTATTTTTGGGCATTCTGTTTCAGCGTGTACGCCAATAGCAATAGTTTTTTAATAACCACAAACGCTTTTTAAGGAAAAGTGGTCCAACCCCATCAATTTTTTATAAACAGTGTATAAAACCCGTCCCTATTGTACCGAAGTCTAGATAAAACTAGTGGCTAGCTAGCAGCACACCCCAAATATAAGTTTTAGATATTTTAACATGATTTCGCAGCATTTTGGCAACTATAGTTCTATGTTGACGAAATTTAGATAAAATTTTGTACATTCCCATTTAAAGTAGATCTCTTGGTCTAAAACACATAGCCTACTGCATTTCATTCATTGAAAGACTGAACTAGGCTATTGTATCGGCGACTGATTTAGTCCGCACCTTGCCGTAGGCTTTAGATCAACAATGCCAGCTGGGCGCGGTTTAGGTTATGGCCCGTAAGTTCACCCGTTTAGCCTCTAACCCTACTTTGCGTACAGTGACTTACAACTGAGGTCGAAAACCACATGGAACTCCAGACGAAAATATTAGTGTTGCAAAATCAGTGTATTTATCTGTATCACTATCGTTTATCGCCTTGTTATATAACAGTGTTTATTGCGGAATGTCTATAACACGCGCAACAGGCGGTCGAAATACTACCGCGCCTGTCATTCAATGACTAATTGTACCAAGTTGTGTTCCATACTGTTCAGTGAGTGATTTTAATTGAATTCTTATAGAAATTGAAACAACCGTAATCAAACTTTTGGTATTAATAGTGTTTATTGAAACAGACTATAAGCAGAAAAAGGAACTATGTTGATGGTGCATATTTATCTAGGGCCTAAATAGAATACATAAATATCAATATAAATAAATATTAGTGTTTATTAAGGGCCTATCGGTTTAAAATAGTATATTTCGTACCTAGAGCCGAAAATGAGATTTTGCCGGCTCGGGATAGTTTTTCAGTTCGAGACGAAATCGAGAATTTAAAAAGATCGAAAGCTGCAAAAACATTTCGGTCCGTGGTACGAACGCTATTTTTCACTACACTGTGCCCTTTTACCACTATTCACCAAAATAATAATGTACACTAACAGTCAACACAACTACAACTTTAAGGTTATGTAAAGAAATAATTTGAGGAATCAGCAAAAATAATAATAAATAGTTGCTCGACAGCGGTGACAATAAAACAAGTCTATTACAATGCTAAATGATATGGACACTCGTTGTGTTTAATATGAATTAATGATTTATGCAAGTACTTACTTTCTACATCAGCTGTCCACTTGGATAGCTGATTTTCGGCCTTAGGGATGTAAAAACCTGCTTGGTCCCCAAATGACGATGACAACTGGCATAGACAGCAATACGAAGTGTTGGCCTCCAATAAACGTTTGTAAAACCACTAAAACATCGCAGTGTGGTGAAAAAAAAGATTACAACCCTATGATATAATGTTTTCTTCGCGTCACTTTTGTAATGATTGCATAACTTAAATATTTACACATAAATGTGTAAATATTTCAGTAATGCAGTTATTATTATATTTACATGTATTGTTTAGATTGTTATGGATTAGTGGAACATAAACGACTATACATTAAATACCCTTCCCGCAGCAAACCTGCAGAAGTGAATTTCAACTTTTGTGGTTGTATTTTTGTTAAAATATTTCCATAAAAAAAATTAAATTCATTCCCTGTTTGACATTGGATTTAACATTGGACATGTACTTGGGTTTGCCGCTACGCGATCAGGGATGTTCTTCGATTGATGTTGTGTAAACGTTTTATATTAAAATCACAAATTCAAAAAAGGTTCATTCCTATTTACTTTTTGTTACCATAACTACATTACTAATAAACAACACATATTTTGAAATTGATAAAAAACATGTTTATACGTAGCTATATTACTTAAAATCGCTTAGTGTATTTTCAACGTTTATTTTTTTTTTTAAAGGTTATCGATCCTTTTGAACCTTGCAAATTAGGATTCGATATAATTACTGTTATTGCAGTATTAGAATACATATTTTAGGCCAATAGTTGCACTTCAATTGTAAATACATAAAATATTGATCTTCAATATTGATGGAATAAGAATAATTTTGGTTGATAGTTTTTCAAAGATACTTTATTACTTGATAAAGTTTTTACACGTAGGATTACTTTGAAGATCTAAAATGTAAGATTTTCGTGTATGGCTATGTAGGAACAATGTAAACATTACATAACAAATGGTATTAATGTAATGAAAATATTAAAATAACCTTATTAACTGCAGACTAAAATTTGTGTTTTTCATCTTACTTGTTATCTTAAATTTTAATTATACCACGTCATAAGTATAACATGTTATTCTAGGACAACACTGCGAACTTGGATGTGTTTTTATTTCTATTTTGAAACGTACAATTCGTTAAATTCGATAATTCGCGCGCCATAGTAATATGATCGAGAGCCCTGATACACACTCATTCACACTATTACATTTCATAAACTCCTCAATAGTTTATCAATCAAAAGGTCAATTACAAGGTAAATCATTTAAATTTACCAAAACACACTTTTTTGTATCAATACATTTGGCGGCTCTTTGTTATTTTGGTGTACAATTAATTGTTTATGCATATGAAACGCGTAGGTTTTTTTTCTTTTGGTAACCTCAAGTCACCAAATAATTCAGTAAAATACATTTTATAACTGCAAAATCGCACAGAAATTAAATAAATACAACTCTACCTAGATAAATGTTTGACTGTGTAAATTGTTTGTGTTTACCTAATACTGTACATACTACCTAAATACTAATACTACCTAAATACTACTAATCCCTATGATATTTATATTTAGCCCCAAACCCTATTAATTTATATTCATTCAGTCTTGAAATTACATCGGAAGCTGTATACATCAAACAATATCCATCAGCTTGTTCAATTTAAATCCGCAACCTGAATGTCTGTGAAAACATCCAGTGTAATCTTTCATATTTTATATTTTGTTTTAAGAGGGGTGTTAGCGATCCCTTTTAACCTTACATGTGCCCAACCACCGTAGGCTTGTGCTTGGAGCGTATCCAGCAAAGTAAGGTGTGAGCCGATACAGTAAAGTTGAAACTAGCTGGGGTAGCTGTGCTGATAAAATAATGTTCTGGGGACCAGAAACTAAAGCTACAACATCGCTGTCATCCATAGTCGTATTCAAAGTCAGTTAACCGAGCCACCGACACACCATTAAGTACTGTTAACACTTTCGGGAATATTGCATTCCTATTAAGCATATTTTAAATGTTTTAATGGAGTATTTAAATGTATCTTACAAAAGCTCGTCCTTTCAAGATAGTAGGATATTTTTCTATGATTTGACAACACTTTACCTCTGTGCGGACATTATTTTTCTAATAGTTGTAGCCAGTTTTAGACAATTTAGTACCAAGATTATTTGTGTATTTGCATTTTAGGTGTGGTATCATATGGAAAACAACTTGTGAAACGATTACGAATAGGCTATGTTCTAAAGGTATAGCTAAATATATGAATGGTATAACTAAAGTTTAAATTTTGTTTCAGGTAATTTCATTCTTCTGCAGTCTACTGCTGGGAGTTTGGTAAGCAGTTACTTTATTATAGTTGTTCACTAACAAGAAATGTTTCAATCAAATCAAATCAAATCAAATCGTTTATTTGCACATTAGATTTGTATACAATAACATGTATCAAATATCATGCATCGTCAATATTTACAAACTAAAACTAAAACATACAACATGAGAATCTACATATATACACATTATAGGCTTAGAAATTCTGAGACGGAATACACGGCATTTGAGCATAGAAAATATTTTAAGTTCCTCTTAAATAGGGACAAAGAGTCTTGGGATTTTATTGCCTGAGGCAATTTGTTAAAAAAATCGATCCCCCTGTAAAACGGACTCCTCTCAAAGGCCGCAGTTCTGTGCCTCGGATAACAGAGGATGCCTCCATTTCTCGTCCGGTGGTCATGGAAATGCCCTAGATGTTGAAATTGGTCCCTGTTGACAAAGGTCAAAATGAGGACCTGCTGAATGTACAACGAATGTACTGTAAGGATGCCAGAATCTTTGAACACTTCCTTGCAAGGATGGCGATGGGAGAGACCGAAAATGCGCCTAAGAATCTTTTTTTGGAGCTTAAGTATTCTTTCCAAATCAGAAGAGCTTCCCCAAACGGCAATGCCATAACGCAAAATGCTTTCGCAATATCCACGATAGACATCCACAAGAACTTCCCTGCTACAAGTTGAACTGAGAATTCGAATGGCAAACAGAGCAGAACTGGTGCGGTTAACAACACTTTGCACGTGATCATACCATTTGATGGAGGAATCAAAAATGACACCTAGGAATTTTGTGGTCAATGAGGGATTAGTGAGCTGCGTTTCAGGACTACTTTGATTATTCTGAGACGAACCAATCAGACCAAAATTGAGACCAATTGGTGTTTTGTTAGCAATAAACATCTCTAGTCACAGGTAAAACACAACTTGTCTTCGGAAATATCAAACGCCAATATAGTTATCAAACTCCTAAGTGATTAAAGTGCAAATATTTTATTGCATCTTTTAATTGCCAGCTTTTCACTCACGTTCTATGTAGAGTTGTAGTAACCTAACTACATGAAGACTGAAATGTATCTATAGTACCAACATCAAGTACTTCTTATCGGCCTAACACTGACTACGAAAAAAATATAACAGATTATGTGTAACAACAACAAACTGATAATTCGCATTATCATCTTATCAAATAGTTAGACTAACCTCCTGTGGTCGACGTCATAGTAATATGATTGAGAGTCTTGATACACACTCGATCACACTATTAAATTTCATCAACTCCTCAATAGTTTATCAACGAAAAGCTCAATTACAAGGTAAATCATTTAAATTTACCAAAAACGCACATTTTTGGTTCAAAACATTTTGCGATTTCATAAAGTGGTACAACCTGTATTTAGTTAATATTCTCTAGAATGTGTAACTAGTTTTAAAGATTGAAGTAAATTGAGGTATCAAAAACACGTTTTAATGTAAAAAATTAAATTATTTATTCTTGTATAAAAATATACAACTAATAATGAGCGAACACATATTTACAACAGAAATGGAGGTGATAGGTGGTATAATCAGGTAACAATTACTAGCTTACTTAGTAAGCAGGTTTCTTGTAGTAGCCGGAGTAGCTAGGAGCGGGAGCGTAGGGCTTGGGGGCGTAGGGGGCGGGGGCATATGGGGCAGGTGCGTAAGGCTTGGGAGCGTAGGGGGCAGGGGCGTAGGGCTTGGGAGCGTAAGGGGCAGGAGCGTAGGGCTTGGGGGCGTAGGGGGCAGGAGCGTAGGGCTTAGCGGCGTAAGGGGCAGGGGCGTAAGCCTTGCCACCCTCCTTGTGGACGACAGCCTGGAAGCCGTATCCGTCGTCGGAGTACTCGACGATCCTCTTGGTGCCATCGGGCTCGTACAGCTCGTAGGATCCCTTCACGTAGTCTCCGTTACGCTCCTCGTGCTGGCTCTTGATGTCGTAGGTGCTGTCGTCATGGACGGAGTACTCGAAGTTGTACTGAGGGTTAGGGTCGTAGGGCTCAGGCTCGGCGTACTTGGCAGCGTAGGGGGCGGGAGCGTAGGGCTTGGGCGCGTAGGGGGCAGGCGCGTAGGGCTTGGGGGCGTACTGCGCTGAGACAGCAGCCAGCAAGCAGGAAGCAAGTACGATCTGGAAGAAACTTTATTTAATAAGAGAATGTTTTTAACATGATATAAATCTTAGTACCGCAATTGAAAAGCTAATCTTTACCACTGCTCGTATCGAAAAATGGTTACTAATTAGTATATGTAATAGCATTGAAAATGACTTCGTTCTGTTAGAATTGCATCTCATATTTATTTATAACTTGATAAGAACCTCATTACTAACTATCAACGTGTAATTAGTAACTAGCATACAAACTAGAACTGTGCGTCACTTTATAGAATAGTAGTTCAAATATTTAAAAACATCTTACAACTTAAACAGTAAACTTTTTACAATACAATTTGTATTGGCTCTTTAAAATGAATTGTGCTATTTCAGTTTCATAAACGAAGCAACAATTACCTGTTTATACATATAATTTTATACAGTATTAAAACCTACAGCTAATTTCTAATGATATAGATTTATATTAATTAGGTGAATAAAGCTACCAACATTACATTTACTGTAGGTGACTGAAGCTGCCAACAGTTGTTCAATTATTTAACGAAGCACAAATTATGATGTATTATAAGCTCGGAATAATCCGAATATACGTTTTAAAATGTGTTATGTCGTATAACATATCCAATAATGCATTTGGTTATTATTAATCGTTATGATTATGCTGTTTAACAATGGCCAACTTTCAAAACCATCGTTGTTTATTTCCAAAATTTTACTACCCTAATTATTACGCATCCATCCGTGTCTAATTAGGTTTAATATCTTTGTTATTGTTCGAAGGGTTAAGACTAGTATCGATTTTTAAAACAGAGGTGTATTTATAAATAAAATTACCCACGATTACAAATGACTACTCTTAATCTTTTTACCCTTTTTCTAGCAACTTTTTATTCTTGCTGATTATAAGTTAGTGTCATATGGTTAGAATAGATAACACTAAAAACTTATTTTACATTGTATGATTTACGTTTTGGAATTGATAGATGATTATGTAAATAGATTAAGAAATGTTTCGTACCAAGATGTATGTTGTAGTTGTATGTAGTGGCATGCAGTTAAAATGTGTATGTATTGCAAACAGTTGACATTAACCTTTTGAAGTACTTAACTAAACAAGTATGAATATGTTGTATTTTATATCTGTTAAGCTTAATATTGTTATGTTAAACAATTTTAATGCACAAATTTAAAAATGTTTTCACATTAGTTAAAAAACCTCACCCTACTATTTGTTAAACACCTGCTTTGCATAGTAAAACTTTACAATGACTTAAATAAGCCAACACATTTTTTACTTGTTTTAAGAAATGAAAAACACGTTACATGTAAAAAAAAACAATAACAAATTATATATACTTGTGATTATTTAAAATTATATAATTATATCGCAACGCTTGAATTCAAATGACAAAACCTGTTTTACTACTTAAAAACCGGATAACATTTTTATTAATTACCTAGTTCCCCTACATTAAACACTAGCTTAACGTAAACTTATCTATACATTCACAAATCGTGCACTCATCCCCGACCGCACACACACTCACGCACTAGCACACGCACTGCACCCACCTTGAGAGCCATGACTACGTCTAGGGTCGGAATGATAGGCCTGTTATGTCACGGCCAGTATTTATACTTAGGGCTGTAGGGGGTGTAGAGTGGGAGGGTGGAGGGGAGCCAAGCCCTTTCACCGACCGGGGACGCAGCATTAGCAATTTCGGTGTACTATCTCATTTTCAGAGTTGTCGTCCTTGCTCGACGCCCCAGGCCAGCTGCTCCACATAGCGTCTGCGGGCAATACTAGAGATTGCGTCATGGACGTCGCATATGTGGAAGACACGGTCTTTGTGTGGGAAAATCGGGTTGCCTGGTGATGAAGATGTGTTAGGGGTGTGATGCAGATAGGAGTGTTTAGTTGATTCTGATTGATGAAAAGTATGGGGGATCCTCATCTATAGGAAACTCTATGTTGAGTGGACCTGGCTTACTCCATAATGTCAATATGGCAAACTTGAACATAGTACATAGTAGGAAACAAGTTCGATTACACGATGAGGTAAATTATACCACCATATTGTCATCTATAGATCAAACTAGATGTGTCATTCTCTTGTAAACGCTTTAGCCAGTAAATGTACGTTAAATAGTTGAGCCAACGACAGAGTGTGTTATATACATACGGTGTTTGTTAAAATCGCAAACATTGTCATATAAACTATGCCAGTAACAATAACTTAAAATAAAATAGAATAATTATAAGATAAAATAGAATTGCAGACTGTAGCACACTAAGTGAGTGGCTTACTCAATGTTAATTTTTTGTTAAATAAAACCTCCGTACCCTAACAAAAGTCAAAGGTTTCCCTCACCATCCGGAACTCCTCGGCTAAATGGCCTACACACGCACTGAACGCACAATCGCCCTATATATTGAGTTTAAAAGATTTACCGACCAACATTGATGGTCTTGGCACATTCTAAGAGAGTACATGATTAACAGAACTTATGTCAGTCTTCTAGTATCATTCAGCCAATTCTAGTGATTGCGTTTACGCTAAGTATAAAGAAAGACTAACCATCCATTTACAGTTCAGGTTAATGTGTGATATCGAATGTTTAACCTCAATAATGTGTTTTGGGAAGCTAAAGCATTGTTGCTCGATTATAATAAATGTTATGTATACACTTCGTGTTAACCACCAACTTATAGGTAGTTGTCTACTAATTAGTTTTTTAACGTATTTAGTGTACTGGGTTAAGGTGTAAGGTATTTCAGGATCACTGTGAAAATTAAAGCTAAGTTCTGGTAGCTCATCATATGGCCTTGTATAGAGCTGTAGTGTATACATTCTGACAAACCGTGGGATGCGCATTGATGGTTTTGGTAGTCAATATACAAGTCCAGTTATATCTCTTATGAAAGGAAACTCAAATTCTTTTTATTCGAATACATTAAAATTATATTCTCCTTTGAGAGTCATAAATGAGTATATTACCATGCACTCTGATTATCTCAGCACAAGCCGCTGTTACCCCTAGGCTCTCTTCCCGTGATGCAAACTCATGTCCTACCGCACGCCCGTGGCTACCCCAGGGTCGACGACACACTGCTTCTTGTTCGCCCTTGGACATCTTCCAGTTACGTCTCGTAGAACCTGTCCAGGCAGACCCGTTTTCTCCAGTCATTCCCACTTCACTAATAGCTTAGGACGGTCTTCCTCGTAATTTACATGCGGTTTGAATCTAAACGTTTTTATTTTAACATTGTATAAAATATTGTTTAGGAATTATATACATATATTTTTGATAAATATTATTATTTTCCATCTAACTCAACTGCGATTTTTCTGTGGCATTACTTTGTAAGTTTGTAAATACTTAGCGAAATTAGTTAAACGACTTAACTCCAGCTCCTACTGTTTTGTGACTGTGGTTTTTATTCTTGTATCATTTTGATAGTAGTAATGGTTTGATAAACTATTTGGAACGGATTGATAAATATACATGATATATTATAGCATTAAGTTCGATAAAGCATAATACTTTCTTTTAATCAACACGTTCAACCTGCTCAAAATCAGCTATAGTGACTCCTTTATGGACATTTCAAATGATAAAGTTTTAGAATGTACTTTGAATGAACTTTGTAATAAACAATGGTGGGAAACATGTAGAGCACTTAGTTTTAAGACAGAGTAAGTTTATACAGCTAATAAAAAATAATCGCCGTGAAATGATGAGTACTTTTTTTGGCCACCCAGTACATCTAATTTAAAACAAAAATAGTCTTTTACGTGTTGGATAACTCCAAATAAAGCCAAACAATAACTAATTAATTTTACGGACATGTAAGGCATGACCAGTTTTATTATATCCTTGACGCGATACTTGTATACTGTTGTATTTTTCAGCTGAAATCATTAAAATTTCTTTTAAACTTTCCGTGGGATGTTTCGAAATAGCTTTTATAAATCAACTGAGGTCACTGAAAATATTAGATTAGATTTCTCCACGATCACAAATTAGGCCATTGAACATATGAGATAAGCAAGCAAGGTCTTTTGCCACTCGGGCCATGGCCCTAGGGCTTCACAGTTTAGAGAACAAGCCACTTAACACTTGGTATTTAGTTTTGAAACTTGTTTGGAACATTTGCCTGTTACTTTTTTTATAATTTTAGCCTTTAAATGCGCACCTATTTTAACATATAATATAATATAACATATGATGGTAATGGTAATATAATTGTAATTACATTTTTGGAGAAAGTTGCGAATGGCTCCCTGAGTGCGCCCTTATTTTAAAGGGATCTACAAAGAAAACAAACGTCGAAACAAAAATATCTTTAACTAAATTCAGTCCTAAAAGCTTTGTACAGTTTCAGAATGGTTCTGGGCTGAACAAGTAAATGTAATCGGACGAACATTTTGCTATCGCACTTTTCTTTATTAATGCATTGTTTCTTCATTAACGTTAGTACTATCGAAGGCCTGCATCGAAAATTATTCCAGTTACAATAAGTAGTAAGGATAACAATGGTTTGTGACTTACATACCTCACGTGAACAATGCAAATTAACCCATTGTTACCCAAGTTTAGACACTATTGTGTCATGGCCATTGGCCATACCCATAATTTGAATTAGCATTTTTGTTCTTCGGATGTAATTACATTTTAACATTGTTAAATATAGATTATCATATTGGCTGTTGATATTAGGTATATGTAGATCACATTTTAAGTTGTAGGATAAGATTAAGTATCACAACAAACATAAAGAATACATAAAAATGACTTAAAATACTTAGTTCATTTACGTTTACAACATAGTAGACATGTCACACATGTACTTAGCTAATCACGTACACAGCGGGAATTAAGAAGAGAGGGCGATTCAATATACTAGAGGAAAGCAACATTTGTTCCATATGCACTGTACAGAATGTCCCAAAAAAACTTAACAACTTTGAACCCTAATACAATCTATTTAGGCTTCCATAGATATTTTTTCAAATTACCATATGATAGAGCAACTCATAAAGATTTTTTTCAAAATTATTTGCACGTATCAGCTGTATCATTGTTGTCGTTCAAAGAAACTTCAAAACATAAACTGAAATAAGGCAAGCATCATGAACGTGCAAGAGAAAGCTCAGTGTGTTGATTGGTACATCGAAACAAATAAAAATCGTCTGGTGTTTTGTCAAAAACTAAGTTACAAGTCGATATTCCCCAATGTTCTAGAATTGAAATTGAGAGCCGCCTTTAGCAACATTACTGATGAAATGCGACCTGGGGTGTGGTCAGAGTTAGATTTGTATTGACTGTCTTTTTTGCCAACAATAGAAGCAATATTGATTTTTGTGATCAACTGATCCAGAAAAACCAAAGAATATGTGTGTTAATTTACATTTATTAAAACGTGTGTAAGCATGTCAATAAAATGTTTACACTGCAACAAAGTTGCACAGTTTTATTGGGACGCCCTGTATAATTATATTAATTGTGCATTACATCAATTATTGCAAAATATGAACTCAAAGAATATTAAAATCCAAAAAAAGACAGTAATCTATCAACGTTGCTTTAATTTTGTGCCAGTTTAGCATCGCCTCAAAATGTATGTCACTGTCATTAAAAGTCATACAACGTCGGTTCCATTTAGTCAATAGCATTACTATCGCCGGCCTTATCGCCCATATGGTCCAAGAGTCTAGCGTAGTCAATAGACTAATCGATAGGTTTCAAGTATTTACAGCTCTCATAAACACCTAGACCAATAAACCCGGGTTAAAATAACGCCTGTTAGCACGGTCGCAGTATCACACCAAGCTAGTCCTAGTAAATCAGGGCAACACCTATCTAAATCAACCGTGTATACAAGTGCGAGTCCGATAATAATTCGTGTATGTCGCAAGCACAGCTACCTAGGTAGCGTTCACGCCTTACAGATGTACTTCTGACTGGAGATATGTTACCAGCTGCTAGCTGTTGGCTGCTGGCTACCGACTGCTATGTAGCCGCCGGCTGCTATCTTACCTGGTGACCCGGTTATTCAAACGAGTCCCAGCTTGTCGCAAGCTCCACTATTCCGGCAAGGAAATGTGTATCAAAGCCGTCGTCTGGTCGAGCGGGTTTCGACACAGGTTCACAACAATCCGCGGAATGCCCAGTCCGCCGCGCATACAAACTGCACCGAAACGTTAAAAACCGCGGGAACGCTATGCGGGAAACAAGTGTTAACCACTTTATCAGAAATCTGTCAATTAAAGTCTCGTTTAATAGGGTCCCCGGAACGTTGGATGAATTATGCGTGGGGATTAGGCGCAGTGGAGAAATGTGAGGCTTAAACGATTGACACAGATTGAACATACATGTAAATACAGGTTTTGTTAATGGTATGAAACGACAAATTCACTTACAATTTTATAGATTTTCCTGGTTCAGTGTACAATGTCTACTGTTAAATTAGTCGAATACATTTTACTGCCCTTTGCCTAATACAATACCTAGGATCAACTGTTTAAATGATAATATGATCCAAATCACTTTTGTAAGACTGTTCAATCGGATTTTTGGCATCGTTCAAGTTAAATAAGTACGAAACAGTACAGGTGTACTCTCTAAGAGGAGTCAGACTTATAGTCAGTGCATACAAGTAATTTTAAATTTAACTAGAAAATGTACAAACTATTATGTAATAAACGCTGTAAGTTATGGTTCAAATCAATTTGTGTTTTCACATTAAACTGGGTATAAAAATATACTACTGATGCCATAAAGGTCGAGGAACATAGTCAATGCCATCGAGCTATTTTTAATTGACTTACACAATAAGTAGGTAAACATAACGTGCGTAACTACAAAGACGCGTAAAACGACGATTATTTTTAAAAAATTTTCGGATTTCCCTTTGAATAGTTTCTTCATATTGTTTACCATTATCGTTTGCATTCGAGGGTTTTATCAAGCTCTCCTTTACATTGCGGAACTATTGACTACGCCACTTTCCGGACCAGTGCGCAATAATTTTGCAATTTGTAATAAATCAAAAGACCGACTTAAGGACTAGTTCCCACAAATATTATCGCACTGGGGGCCACAGACTACGCAATAAGATTGATAGCCCAGTAACATCTAAATGTGTCCAATTTGGGTTGGTTCCACTCTACATTCTCTCGGATTATCTGCAGGTTAATTAATTAACACACACTTCGTGACCAGTCGGACAGTGGAAAACAGATTGCTGCGATTCAACTAATTTTAATATTTTTTTAAGAATTAGACTCTCTGCTAACGCTTTTAGATTGTGGACCGTAAAAATAAGCGTAACTTGTACCTAATATAGTTGAGTTCTCATGTTATGTTAGTGTTCTGCAAATATTCAGGCTAAGATATTTGAAAGATATTGTGATGACTGCTGACCAGTAGTTGCTAATATAAGTACTTAATACTCACAGGCTATGCCAATATTCCTGTATTTTAAAAGTAATACTGTGTCCTATATGGTGAGTTTTTCATACTTATTTAAGAAACGATTAACTATTTTACGCCTATTCAACACTCCAGAGTGCTAGGATGCTGTTTTAACCTTATTCATTATTTACATTAAACTTTCACTCCTGTCTGCTGTGAGAAGTGATTATTTATGATGATATAAGGTAAAAGCCATATAGCCATATATCCATACTAGAGGAAAGAAACATTTGTACCATATGCACTGTACAGAATGTCCCAAAAAAATTTAAGAACTTTGAAGACTAATACAATCTATTCTTGACCCCAGTTTAGGTAATTGACAAAGGCAATGAAATAGCAAGCTCTCTAGGAAGATAACTCCCTAGGACGTGATGAATGGTTATAACCTTCATACTTTCGTGATTCGATTTACTGTATTACTGATATTACAATGTAAGATTACAACAGCATGTTTTATGATTTTATTAAATTTCAAAAGAACGGTAGAAATGTGCTAAAAACCAACTCATGTCTTGCAACATTTTGATTGAGTATCAATTTGAACAGATTTAAACACTTGGAAATATGTTATTCAAATTAATTAATTTTATTTATTTATAATTTCCATCTAAAACGATGGCACCCTAATTTTTTTACGTAATTTTCGGATGACAAATTTTATATGTGTCATAATGTGGCCGATTTGATTTAATCATTGGAACAACGGCCATAAAAAGTTCAATTACACACTCTACCTGTGAAAATTGGGTTATGTACAGGCTAAATGCATTCATTGGAAATAATTTGGGTTTTCAGTTTTGTTTAGTTTTATTACAGAATTTTTAATTATCTCTTTTAGAGCCTTTTAGAGTTTTTAATTGCCTTCAGGGTTCTGTATGTATAAATTAAAAATAAACATGGATTTGCTTGCAATAACTAGCTGAAATACGATTGGCTTCTTTCCCACTCAACCTTCAAGAACTATACAAATGAATTTTTGACGTAATGACACATTTCAAGCATGTTTACTTTAAAAAACTGCTTGTGCCATTTTACCTACCTTTGTTTTATTGAAACTAGCAACAGATTCAGTTTATGAACAAAAATTTTCTGACTTATGATAAAAGACGCTTGGCGTTACTAAATGATCTCCGTAATACAAAATAATTCGGAAATAACCCAGAACACTTGGAGTTTTGTGTTTGGGACTCTTCTTTCAGTAGATAGGTGTCATGATTTTAGTGTCAGTTGTGAAATGTGGTTAAAGTTAGGTTATTTCCTTCGATTAATTGCATGTCTAGATTGGGTTTTAAAGGAGGAGTTAAGAACCAACACCTTTTCTTTAGGTCTTACGGACGTTTACTTACACAATGCGTCCAAATCGATAGTAAATGATCAATTCGAAAATAATTCGTGTACAAATGATGTTACACAGTGAAACAAAATTTTACCCTTGTGATTTGTTATGGAATTAGGATCGAGTTTGACTATCAAGTTTGAAACTTAACACTCATCTTTACTAGACAAACCTGAGTAGATGTTTTATGGAAATAATACATTTGCTCAATCTTCAGGCATTACTTTAAATCCTCTGCGAAAATATTTGTTTCAGTGACAATTCATTCGTATAAAGATCTTTTATTGAAACCGTTACCTTGCCTCGATTGAGTAAAATGTGTTTTGATATATAAGTAGGCTAGTCATAGTTTAGATATTAGCACCAATGTTAACAGTACTTGGAAATACTTTTACGAATGATCACCATCATTACGATGTCATTGCTACGATCATTTTGTACCAAGGTGTTAATGTTAAACCATTTACTCAATCTTATCAAAGTGTATTTCCTGCTTTTTAGTTTCCATACCACAATCATAATTCTAATTCCAATTGTCATAACCGGACCAAGCTCATTTTAAATTAAGTTTTGATATTTTGTGATCTTTCTTTACAATAATTGTGGCCTAGGTTTTTACCTTACTTACTAGGCAATATGATGGTATGGTTTACTTTACATTTTTTATGGGAAAACAATCAGTATTTTTTCGTAAGTTCAATATTTTTGATTGCATTTTATATTGAAAAGCTTACGCAAATTGCTGCAGTCGACTATTTGAGACAAAAGAGCTATCAAAGCGCGAGGTCTTTAGAGTAGCTCTTCAACTAACCACACATTATTATACCATCTTAGAATTATCATAGCCAACAACGCATATTTCATCTGTTCAGCATAACATACATGCTCTTGTGATTTCTTAGACATTTAGAACTTCTGAATAATCTAACTAGTGATGCATAAAGTAAAGGTGTGACAGAAAACACGGGAATGGTTTTATAAAAACAAAGCCTTGTTTTTATCAACATACAAAAATATGGTACATGAGGATCACTATTTACAAATGAGAGGAAGATGAGTGACAAGCTAGGTGCCGAGTCTAGTAGTGAGGGGCAGGCGCGTAGGCGGGTGCGGCGTACTTGGGCGCGGAGTAGGCGGGTGCGGCGTACTTGGGCGCGGAGTAGGCGGGGTGGGTGTTATGTTCACGGTGGACGACGGCGTTGAAGCCGTATCCGTCGTCGGAGTACTCTACTACCCTCTTGGTGCCGTCAGCCTCGACCAGCTCGTAGGATCCCTTGACGTAGTCTCCGTCGCGCTCCTCGTGCTGGCTCTTGACGTCGTAGGTGTGAGGGTCGTTGACGGCGTAGTCGAAAGCGTACTTGGGGTGTGCGTCGTAGGGCTCAGGCTCGGCGTACTTGGGAGCGTAGGGCTTGGGAGCGTAGGCGGGGGCAGGTGCGTAGGCGGGGGCAGGTGCGTAGGGTGCAGGAGCGTAGGGCTTGGGAGCGTAGCCGTACTGGGGCATGGCGGTGGCGGCGGCCACTACGGCGAGGACTGTGACGAGCTGAAACAAAAAATATCCATTTAATTTCATTCACCCTAATGTTACTAGAATTAACCTTTGCAACCTAACAGACCTACATTTTCGTGATTCGATTTACTGTATTAATTCATGTAAGATTACAACAGCAGGTTTTATGATTTTATTAAATTTTCTAAAGCAGGGTGGAATGGTGCTAAAAAAAACAAATCATGTCTTGTAAAATTTCGACTGAGTAAGAATTTGAATAAAGTGAAACACTTGGAAATATGTTTTTAAAATTTATTAATTTGAGATACCTTATAGACTGTAATGAACTGTAAGAGTTGACAGGATAACAATTTTCACTGAATAAGGTGGATTAATTCTCTAATGCAAAAAAATAATACGTCTTTTAACGTAGACAACATTAAAATTTAACGTTGGTTCTTAAAATAAATGAAACTTGACATTATGTTGAATTTTTTAATATTGCCACCAAAATGTAGCCATAACTTTGTACATTTATAAGTATTAGTAAAACTTACCCGTTATAGCACTATTTTACTTATTTTGGAACTCTAACAAATAGCCATTCTTTATAATTAATATAACGACTAACTCTAAAGGTCAATATACGTACTTATATTATTCAGGGCTTTAAATATGTCATAAGCATCTGTGATTAAATACCGTATACGGTACCCTTGAACTACCCCACCATTTTGCCCTCTATGTTTGGCCCTTATATCTCCGGTTATAAATTGTTTGTGTTATAGTTTATATTTTACATAATTACAGCGTCCTTACTTTTAGGCATTTGTTCTAACGTTTTACCAATTGATATACAAATTATTTTATTTTAATGTTCACGTTTTAATATCGTGTACGATGAACAATTTAGTATGATGCGTCGTATTACAAAGGGATCATTTGATTACATTTATATTATTCTGTAATACATTGAATACATTCTTTATCAGTATAGTACGCGTTATTAATTTTACCTCACTGTACTTGTAATATATTTTATAAATATTTCAAGATGTATTCGGCAGTTTACAAGATAAATAGTTTTCAAACGAACTGTTTAGGTGGTGAATCATTCGCAAAATATGTTTGTTTTGTACTTAATAATACACAATTGTTCAAAGCTGCTATTAATGAACATTCTAAACCAACATTAATCTTCAGTAAACATTTGAAAATTACTAAATCCAAACCTAAAGAAATCCAAACAGCAAGCCTTAAAACAAACATTACTAAAATGTGCACAGATAAATCTAGTTGTCATGTAAATACTTATCCCTCACAGACACTGAACTAACACTAACACACACACACACCTGGAGAGCCATGGTGGTACACTGTTGAACTGTTGTGGCACTGATGACTGGACGTGGTGACCGGAGCGAGTATTTATACCGGGGTATTCACCGACCATCTGGGGGTGGGGCTCTACCTCCGAGCCTTTCACCTCACGCCCCAAACTGAGGAATTCGGGTTCGGGTGTCATTTTTGTAATCACAATCACGATTATATAAACAGAAATTATCAAAAGTGGATGGAGCCCTGGGGTGCTCAGAGACTGGCTGACCTTGGCCCTGATCGCGGCTAATCAGGTTCCCATCGTTTGTTTACATTGCGGGATCTGGTTGGATGAGAGATTAGCCACGCAGAAGTAGTCTTTATTACATGGATAATTTGTAATAAGAGTTGAACTTGTCAATTATGATGGGTGTCAAAGTCTTGGATGCCTTTGTAAAACCACCAAGGCATCCTTAACAAGGATGTGTGGTCGTATAACCTTTGAATGTGTGCAAATTCATAAATTATTATGATTCAGTATATTAAATGTATTTCCCGATACATTAAATGTCTCGTGGCCTTTATGGTGGTCTAATCGCTTTGTAAATACACTTTGATAGAAAAGAACTCAAAACAACAAACACCAACTTCTGGTCAGTCTGGTGGTAGTCTGGTGTTATCTTTTGAGTGTTAAGCTAATTAAAATAATATATTTTCATAAGCTGGTGCAGACAAACCTTGTATGGTTTTTGCACCTATTGTAAACATGAATTGTATACTTTATTGCTCGATTAATAAATTGATTGTACAATTGATTGAAAAGAAATTAAATACGTTTTAAGATGCTTTAAAATCACAGTAGCTCAAAATGTAAAAGATACGTTAAACACGTTCAGTGTTATTGAAAATGTTTTCTACATCGAAAGGAATGTTGAATCAATAACTGTAAAACAAAAAAAAACAATAGATTAAGGGTAAGGTTGATTTAAGAATGACCATCTCTTAAACTCCTTATCTATACAGTTGTTTGATCTGCATTGAATATTTTAAATATTGCTTGGTTCCAAAAAGTTCACAAACTTAAGATTTTTTAGCTGTATTCTTTTGTTGATGTAGTCTTGCAACAAGAAATGATTATACTGTATTTCCATAAAAGCTATTAAAATGACGAATACCAACTTGTTTATAAAGGATTTTGCAGACCTTTTATGTTTTATGACTTTCCCTTTTAACTAGGTTTTGATACAATACAAGTACTAAACTACCATTAAATTCATGTACTAGAATTACCACACAATGAGACATACATCACTTTCATTATTGTTAGTACGTAAAACCTGGTTATGGCGGTAAAATAGTCAATAGTTTCACTTTTCTTATCACTTTTACTTTTTCGCACATTCCACCGCCGCGGACCCCTCCTATATCGGACCCTTCTAAGGTCAGGTGGTCGTATAATCAATGGCAAGATAACGAGAGTATACGTATCTGTGTCAATGGTGAGTCGCTCCTTTCTCCTTCAGTCTACAACACTCAGGTTTCGTTCTTTTGCGTCTTCCTTTGTTGTCAGGAGAGTGTTCAATCGTTTTTATCTTGGCGTTATTTATATCTAGCTCTACAATTTTACGACGATTAAGAGTGGGAATATGATGTTTAGGATTCATCTATTTATAAAGGACAATGTGAATAATTTAATAAGTTCGTCTACTTACATTTGCAGTTACCTTTTGTGATTGCGGGTTTGTGTTATTCTATTTTAGGGATTATTACGGCAAATAGTTAATTTATTTATAAAATGTGTACTTGTATTAATTTTGTATGTCTTTGTTTTTAACAGTCCATCTGTAATTCCCATTACATTATCATATGTCAGTTTTCATTGTTGCATTCATTCGTCTCGAATCACCGCTCATAACATCACGCACTCATTTTTTCTCGTAATAAATCAATCTCTTTATACCAAACCTCTCGACTTTTTCCTCTATAATATAACTACACCGCACATTTTTGGTCTTTTCGAGCCGCGGATTTTTGGTCCTATCGAGCCGCGGATTATATCTACGAACATATTAGTGCGACTTTTCTCAAGTTTATTTTCAATGTCTCGGTTGAACGTATTTCATCCATCGTGAAGCCGCCAAAGACAATACCGCATCGCCATTTTGAACTTTTCGTCTACGTCACGATACAGTCCACACTCCTCTCATTCCAAGTGTTCAACATCGTCATCGTTCTGCTAGTTCCGCTCCGCATTCAACGCTTCGACACTTCATTTCGTCTACAACTTCAGCTTCAAACGTCATGTCAACAAAAGTAAGGTTAAGTTTGTAATTCTTCGAAGACAATGAAGACAACTCATCGCATCTCATCGTAAGTTCTAACAATAAATCAACACCTACAAGAAAAAATAAAGAAACCCAGATTTTATTCCTCAGTTGTCCTTGTCCTCTAATTATCTACTCCATCCAATTATAATATCTCTGCTACTGAACTCATTGAACGATCTAGGCCTAACTTGCAAAATGAGATTTTCCACATTTTCTAATAGATGCAAATTGCAATTAAATAAATTAAATACGATCAGTGAGTATATTCAATCATGTCCATCAGAAATAACAGAAGCTCAAACCGCTAAACTTAACCTTTATTTGCACGAAGCTAAAACAATTTCTGCCAATTTTGAATCTAACCTTGATAAGCTTCTTGATATTGATGACGATACTAACGTTTTTTCTGACAATGAAGAAGCTATTTTAAAGCTCCAGAACGACATATCAGAACTCTCAATAAACATTCAAACCGAAATTTCTCTTTTAATTCAGAACTTTAATGATGAACACTTGTCAAATAACTCTGTAACTTCAAACACCTCTAGGCCTACTACTAGCATTGTAAAATTGCCTAAGCTAGAACTGAAGTCCTTCAATGGTGACACTAAAACATGGATTTCCTACATTAACCTTTTTGATACTACTATCCACAACAACAGTAGCTTACAGTAACAGTATCCCTTGTTGAAAAACACCAGTACTTGATGAGTTCACTTGAAGGCGAAGCCTTACACTTAATCAAATCCCTACCGATCTCGTCTGGCAACTATACAGTAGCCTATAATGCTTTACGAGAAAGATACCACTCGAAGCTTAGGCTAATCTCTGTCCACCCCATATCAGTAAAATTGTCGATTCGCCCAATATAACTAAAAAATCTATCAAAAACCTCAGATCATTTTTAAATGAGTTTAATGAAAATGAACAAGCTCTTAATGTTCTTGACTATAATGTCATGGAAGACAACTACCTACTAAGTATGTTGATCTTACGAAAAATGAATTCCAACCTCTGTCAAGTTTTTGAATCAAAACGCATAAATTCTTCTGATTTTCCTCAAGCTAGTGTAATAATCAAATTCCTTAAAATGTCACAGTCAGCAAGCAGCTCCTCTCCAAATATCCAACCCTCACCAAGTTTCACGTCAAATTGATGAATCAATTCAGTTTCAACATCCTCCTATGGCCTTGATATGTACTTCAAATGATTTGAAATGTTTTTGCTGCCATAAAAATCACAAAATATACAGTTGCCCTGCCTTTCATAGTAAAACCCCTCAAGAAAGGCTTAAGGTTGTACGCGACTTAAAACGCTGCACAAATTGCCTTGGTAATCACTTTGCTAAACACTGCAAGTCTACTAATACTTGTAAGACCTGTTTGAAACTTCATCACACACTCCTTCATTTTTTGAAGCCTACTAAGCCTATGGCTGATAACAGAAATCACTGCAACCAAGAACAAAAAGAAGCAATAGCAAATTCAAAACCTTCTAAACTGAAAGCTGTAACTCCTGGTCATTTTGTTATTAACTCTTCTCTGACAACTGTTCCTGACCCAATAAAGATCTCACCTCTTATTGATAATAATTTACCTCAAGACATCACCCGAAGCTTATGCTGCCGTTGGAGTCAAGAATATTTTAAGACCCCTCATCAGCGTTGTTTCAAGTGGAACCTCAAGAAAGAAAACCTCAATATGTAGACCCTGTTTTCTAAAACACACCAGCTCCTCATAGCTACAGACCAGCTGATCCTCATTCAAGACTATCAGTGAAAGTGTCTTCATACCATTAAGCTGCATTTTTTAAATATTTTTTCAACCCACTCTGGCCAATTCTCATAAATATTTTATATTTTTTCAATTTCTCTTTTGTTGAACCTTGTTGGTTCAAAGGGGGCGGTATGTTCAGTCAAGTTGCCTTTGTTTTTTGTATTAATTTTATATGTCTTTGTTTTTAACAGTCCATCTGTAATTCCCATCACATTATCATAATGTCAGTTTTCATTGTTGCATTCATTCGTCTCGAATCACCACTCATAACATCACGCACTCATTTTTTCTCGTAATAAATCAACCTCTTTATACCAAACCTCTCGACTTTTTCCTCTATAATATAACTACACCGCACAGTGATGGTTTATTATAATTATAATGTTTTTATGTCATTGCCCTATATAGATTATTATTCGTCTTATATTTTGACATCGAAGTTTATAAAGCATAATTTACATTATTTGTAAATATCTCGGTATTTTATACTTGTTAATCTGTTTAAAAGATGAATTTAGGAATCATGCCATGATTTAATGACGATGAGGATAATATCTCCCTTCTGGGAGATATTATGACAGATGACAGATAAGTGACAGATATGACAGATAAGTGACAGATATGACAGATAAGTGTAATATCTCTCTTGCACATATCAGTTAGAATTGTAGAAGGACATTACTAACAACTAAGTATACCACGTCAAATAGATTACAACATCTAGAAAACTGACAGAATGTGATCCTTCGTTTTCAGTAGTGTTTTACCAATAACTTCAAAAGCAGTTTGTTTTACAGCCCCCCAATTCAAAGAACTACATACTTCTTTACTCACGCACATTAGGAAAATACTGATAACTTTGGTACGCTGAAAGCTAATCACCAGTAAGTGGTTATAAGCTATTAGCACGCTGTAATGCACAAATGGCTGGGTAATGATGCGATATAATGAACTAGCTGTAATGAATCTGTCTGAGTGGGGGCGGAGTCCAGCGACAGAACCATTACATGAGAGGAGAGTGGTATCCTTGGACCACTCCGCATACACGAACATTCGGGATTGTGGAGTGGGCTTTGGGGTTTGTTCGGAGTTAAAGATTATCAGATAGGAACTCTGTATAATGTTTGTTGTATTTTATAGAGGTAAATCCACACAGGTATATGTGAGGGCTGAGTGGTCTTAGACTTTGCTTAAGGGTTGTCGGTTCGATTTTGAGAAAAGTCAATGTTTTTGAAGGTTTGAAACTGGGGCCATCTTTGATGATCGGGTTTGTTATATGGTCTTAGCTCAAGAACCGGCTGATCTTAGCCAGAATAAAGCTACCATTTCACTCATTCAACAACCATCCCTCGATCATATTCGCTTGAGAATACGTTCTGTGTATCAGCATTGTAGAAATTCAATCAAATTTTATTCTGATCATGGTTTGTCCCGTATTTAATTGTTCATCCTTTTGGCAGTGCAACGTTTACCATATAACTGATTTTAGTAATTAAGAATGTAACCATTTCAAGAACAAATATTAAAAAATATAAAACAGGCTTGTAATTAGGAGTAATTTCAATCTGATGTGATAGTTGCTGTTATTCTCATACTAAAGATTTTTTTGCTTATAGGGGTGTTGTTGGTTTCTAGAATAAGTATACCTAATCACAAAATTGTTATAACTGTTCATTTTGAAAACAATTAGAATATTTGTTGGTACGGTGTTATGGAAAATTATATGGTAAAAGTGAATTTTATAAAATTATGGAATTATATAAAACTTATTGGTGAAAAATATGCATTATTATAATATGATTTGAATATTTTACAATACGACTAAATTCCGTGTCAGTTTTTGCATATTAACCGTAATTATTTACAAAATATTAATCAAGAAACCAAAATTAGAATAATTCCAAAACACTTTTTCATAACGCTAATGTAATGAACACGCCCATTACCAAGTATATTGCACGGATTCCATCCAACCATGTAAAAGAAATTGCTAATTTATTATACAAAGTAATCTGGCATATCACGTCTACCGACTCTCACAGTTCATTTAACAATTACGCCGAAACAGCTGGGAACGCCGTTAACATTACTGGATCATTTAGCAAAGCCACCGAGTTACTAGAAGCTGCTATTAACGCCTACATTTTCAGAATGGGCCATACACTTAATAGCCACTCGATAGTTTAGACCTGTGGATTGAAATCAGCCGGCAATAAAAAGTAATCGTCCGCCTAACCACAGTCCCCGTATAATGATAGTCTGGTCTAACCATAGTCTGGTGATTCGACGGCAAATTAAAAGCCAGTTTTTGTCGCTTCAGTTGGAAGTTGGCCAATGGCTGACCTGCTTCTCACCTCGGTATTGGTTGACTTCAAGTTTGATGTAATTGATTTAATTGTACACGGATTGTAATCGTCAACTGATACAATCCAGAGTACCAACTGTTAATTAGGGTAACAAGAACAACTCGTGTTTAAAGGATCGCGTTACAAAATCAACGGTTGTTTCAAACGAGTTTAATGGTCATGGCTGTGTATTGAGTTGAGATTTCTGTTGCTCGGTTCGATTGAATCTTGATTAATCAGTGATAGAGTTATACTTCTAGATCCAATATAATTAATTTGTCTTTTACTAGCTCAGTATTTTTTACAATATAAGTGAATATCGGAGAGACGATTATAATCTAATACGTCAATTTAAGTGGTTTTTATAATATTGTATTAAACATTTTTTTGATCTTAAAAAAGAAAAAATAATTTGAGCATATAAAATAGTATTTTGAAGGAACACATTTTTAGGAATGGCTCAAATATTAATTGGGTCTTTTTTGCAACCTGTATGGGCTCTTTTAGCCTTAAAATTAACCGTATACATAGGGAAGAGCATGTGCTGTATAAGAATGGTCGGTTACGATGCATTGTAAGTGGGTATATGTTTACGAAGAATATGTAACAAAAGAAAAAGAATGGAGCAAACTAGATTTCTCTACGTCAGTCCTATCAAAAGTTATGGCGATTCAAAGTTTTTTTTTATTATTATTTTTTTAACCAAATGGAGATGGCCCTGGTGTATTGGCCCTTTAGACGACTTTAACATAGGAACGGAATTTCTATTTCCCTTAAGTGTATCCATCGCAAGAGGATAACTCAAAGTCGCATAGTGTCTAGACAGTACAGGCCCGAACAAAATACTAAAAAAGTACCTGATGCAGTTTATATATTCTTTCAATAATTGATCTACCTCATTTGTAATTTACAATGGGGTGGGAATACAGAAGAGAACCACTTGTTCCTTGTAAATATACTGTAAGATTCAGTTACACACCCAGGCACAACTCTATCGCCCTTATTGCTTAAATTTTAATACAGATTGGTGAATTTCCAATCAGCTATGTGGCAAAATCCGAATTAAATCATAAAATTCATCGTAATTAATTAAAACATAAAGGTCAAAAACTCAAAAGTTTAACTCTGTTAATAAGTAAAATGTAACTATTAAAAATAGCAAATGTCAAAGCTAACACATATTCCAAATTTAACTGTAAACAATTACAACCCTTTGTATTAGGTCAAATAAGGTTCGTGTCTTTAAAATATGATTCATCAAAAAAAAAAAAAAACTTATGTTTTCCGGAAGACTTCTCATCAAGACCTTTCATTCAAGTATGCGGTTGATAGGTGTGCGGCCTACGGCTTTCTCAAAAGTTCTTGTTCTTTATTATAACAAAATATATGTAGAATTGTGAGAGTTTTTGTTCATAATCATCATTTTGAAAATAAAAATGGATATTGCGTTCAGAACTTTCTATAAGGTACCGATTAAAGAGTGCATTTTATTCTAAAATGTTTGCCGTTAGAAACACCAAATACATCATGCAATTCAAGCACGAGTACTTAAGCATGTACAAAAGCTTTTATGACTACGATATTTACTGCGGGAAACCAATGTACTCGTGTGGCCTTTCTCCCTAAACAAAATATTTGATCATGGTGTTTTAGGTGACTTGGTGATCTTAATTAAGACCAAGGCAATATACAAGATCAGTTATTAAATTAATCACATACGTATGCATAATTGGAAAATATTGCAGTTAATAGTGTCTGAGCCAAGTGGACTCGTGGATGTCGTCATGACACTATGTATATCTTACTAATGTCTTACCGCCGTATCCTCAGTCCCTCTAACTGCTATGTAATTACTAGACGACATGCCTCATCGCCTCACCCAGTTTCACCTCTTCCTGCTCCTCAACTCCAGTCTAGGCTCGTTAATTGCAAATCCTGTTTTTCCAATTCTCGCATTTTATCACTCCTATTCATTACGTTATTAGAGGCCTCTTCTGATGCAATGTCTGAATGTTTATAATTTTGTGTGTATTGAAGTTATTGAAATTATTAACTTGAGTTGAGTAATTTGGTAAATGTTCATGTTTGAGATATAAAATTTATATTGATTCAAACAGTTACTAAAGAGACAACTGGCTCAGTTAAAGCAAAAAACATACAGGGAAAATTAAATTACCCCTTCAGGATAACCATCTAAATTTCATCAACGTTTTCTTGCAAGAATAAGAAAATACCTGTACAATAACACTTTTTGCAATCGGCATTTATTCTGATCTCTGCTTCGCAGTCGATTTTTTAGTTATTTTCCAGTTTAAATTACCTTAGACGTGATAAATGTTGAATCTTAGTGCTATAAATCCTTAACAAGGACTATTCGTATACAGAAGAGGAAAAACGTATGTTTAACATTAATGTTTAATAATATCAAAAGGAACAACTATATACAACAAGTAACATATGACTGGTGAATGATGACTGGCGATGTGGATGATGATGGTAACTGAACAGACTCAACCATAATGGGAGTATTTTGGTGCTTCGTATTTCTGCTCGTACTTGGGTGTCTCGTAGTGGTAAGGGTGCTGGTTGTGCTCTCTATGGACAACGGCGTTGAACCCAGTCTTGTGGTCAGCTGTGTAGTGGACAGTCCTCTTGGAGCCATCAGGTTCTACCAGCTCGTAGTATCCCTTGACGTAGTCTCCGTCGCGCTCCTCCTTCTGGCTGTGGATGTTGTAGGTGTGAGGGTCGTGGACGCCGTACTCGAAGGAGTACTTGGGGTGAGGATCGTAGGGCTCTTCTTTGTACTCGTACTTGTGATCGTAGCCTCCGTGGCCGCCATACTGAGCTAGCGCACAGCTGGCGAGGGCGGCGAGAAAACAGAGAAGTAGGGTCTGAAAATTACATTCTGTTAGATATATTGCTCTAAGGGTGTCATAGCCTGCATCCTACTTCAAAATGTAATCTGTTGTATAATAATGAACACTAATATTTGCGTCAGCAATTAAAATTAATTTTGATTAAATTTTAAAGTATTGCGATTAAGGTGACTAATAATGAACTTGACACTTTAATACTGCCAAAGTAGGCTACAATATGTAATGTTTACAAATTTCTTTTCAAACCTACTACTTTGGCATCCTGTATCACCCTATATCAACTTGACCTCGAAGCTTTGCCTAAATTCTTTTGAGTGCTAGGATTCGTAAATTATTAGAGGAATCATGAATCCACTATTCTTGTAGTTTATTCAGTCGGGTTTGGTGGAATCATTTAACTGTTGGCCTCACGAGTATTGGTGAATATTAAGCTTCCTAAAACGTATATGACTCAGTTGCTCAATTTATAGTACACTCGTCCTTTAAATTCCTACTAGAGGTCGTCCTGTGGTCGAATACTTGACCAAAATATGTAATGTGTGTAATGTAATATTTAATAAAACAAGTAATTGGAATTTCTTCCATTAGTTTTGATTTTCTGTTTATGTTGCGTTGTTATTTCGTCACCAGCATGGCAACCTATTAGGACCCATATTAATTTTTTTTAGATTTTAAATTCATTTGTTGTGTTTATTTTTAAGCCTATTTAAATTTATCAAGGGATTCTGCACATCAACAGGAAAATATCTTTCCAAAAGTATTCTTAGATTTTCACTGCGATGCACATGAGCTGAGATAAAAGGTTTAAAGAAACATGCTTGTCTATTAATATATAGATTATAAATGCATTTACCAAATAATTTAAGTTACATGTTTTGTAATAATATATTGAAAGATCATTTGGAGACAAGATAAAAATAATTAATGGTATTTGCTGCTGATATGATATTTATCCTAGTACATAAAATTTTTGGTACAGTAGTTAGAAGATAATCGTTCGGCTTAATATTACTAATTATTTAGTTCGTGAAGTATCTTATGAAAAATATTCTTTTAACAACGTTGACAACTTTACATGAAAAAAAAATGTACGTAGACAAACTTTTAACTCCAGTCTAACGTTTTTATGAAACGTGTGTTTCAGTTCATTCTCAATTGATTACCGGAAATATACCTGAATATATTCATAACACCTGAAACCTTTGTTGATTTAAATCACTTAAAGTAAAGAAGAATGAAATAAAGTTGTTAATAACAATAATTAATAAACATCATAGGTATTTATTAGTAAAACAATAATTAAACGTTAACAAACTACATCTCTACCTCACTTCTATGTGGTAAAATATAGTGTATTCTAAATTTGCAGTGGAAGCATTTACTTTTAAAATTTAGTTTATAATTGTATAAGATGCTCACACAATATTAAAACAAAACTAAATATTTTATCAGTAAAAATCTACTGTTTTTAAATATGTTTATCACATTAATGGTATCAATTGTGTTATCAATATTATTGTATTTACCTGAGATGCCATGACTGTCACAGTAGAGTTCACCAAGTAGACTGTGAGTGACATTAAAATTGTACCGTATTTATAGTAAGTTAATTCACTGTCCAGACAGGTCCGAGTAGTGGACACAACCTTTCACTCTCCTTTTCCCACCTTTCTAGCTGGACACTGGAACGCTGGACTTTGGAGTGAATGCCCTCTCTTGTATGATCTGATGCACCTGTTATCTGCTATCATAGGTAGCTTGGTAACAAAGGGAAGTAGGTAAGTAACAAAGGATGCTTTGGTGTAAAAAGCTGTATCATAAACAGTGGAAGATAGTGTACACCCTCAGTCGCTAAATAATTGAACACCTCATTAAACAGCTGTTTATGTCCTATAGCGAGACTTAAAACAAAATTAGAGTAATACAATTTGAAAATGTAATTTTATGAGGTTTTTCAGTGGTGCAATGATTTATGTCCATTTAATTGTATTTTTCAAAACTCTGAGAAAAATACATAAAGTTTTACCATTACAGGACAATACGGTCAAGACGTTTAAGCTATTCTTTATGTTGTGACTTGATAGCCCATTTTCCCATTTCAGATTTAAGTGACAACTCAAGTTTAAACAGCCATTTACTGGTGCTCTCAAACTAGCAGGACCGAAAACAAGATCCGGATTTCAGTTTGGTTACATATTTTACATAAAAATATGTTTTATTTTTATTTTACCTTAGTTGTCCTACCGAAATAACATTGTAGACATACCTTACATGGGCAAACTATTTTTATATTTTTTTGCCTATTACGTTTAACAGTCTAGCCTAAAGTTAAATTAATCAAGGTTCTAAAATGTCTGCTATGTTTAATGAAATGGTAATTTCAAAGATAAAGACATTTTTTCACTATGCACAATGTACAATACATGTAGTAGATGGAATTCATTTAAATAGCAAGTTATTACTAAGTTAAGTTATCGGGAGCCTACCAGTAGACCGACAAGATACTTGGTCGTCTGGCCACTAGACCGTCTTTTTTAATTAAATAGATAAATACTGAAAACCAGTACGTCGACAAGTTATTTCATCGTCATTCCAGTTGACCGGCCTGTAAAACTAAATTATTATATACGAGAAACCTACTTGTCGTCAATCGACCCGACCGACTTACCACTTGCTCGTCTTTTAGGTGGGGATAGGGGGCAGAGTGGGAGGAGCTAACCGGGGATTACCCAGGAGTTTGAGGCGCTTCTCGTGGTTGAACCACGTCGCTCGAGGTTAGAAGCCAGTCTTGCCAACTGAAAGTAGCCTAGCTCCGTCGAACACTACACACTCGGCGTGTTTATACAGTCTGGAGTTTAGTTGACGTTGGCGCGCAATTCTAATGGATAGTTTCGTCGTTTCTATAGCAACCGTGAAGTGACCTCGTTCTCGCGCATTCCTCTGCCTTTGTATTATTTAATCTGCTTTGAAAGATAAGACTCGCTTATGTGCATTGACTATTGAATCAAATAACAATATCATTAGGGGGTTTTGATCGTTTGTTTGGATAAAACTACGTACCGTATATTGTAGAATTACATATGTAGTGTGGTAATATGGTGTATATATATATATAATTAATACGCTACATGAAACTTTGTCGGTTGAACTCCTCCGCCATTTCTTAACCGATTTTATCCATTGACATCTCATTGGAAAGAGCGTGTCGCGTAGATTTGCCAACTGGCCTTACATTTTTTACAAAGTCCCTTGGGTTCTGCCCCAGTGGCTTTGAAAGTTCCCATGTTATCCTTATGAAGAACATAATTGTTTACATTTTGATCAGCTGTATAATTTAATTACTGTTATTTATTTTTCAATTCAATGAAACGCATTGAGTAAATTTATTTACTATTTGAGTTTGTGTAAACATAACCCCCAAAACGAAAACGGACCGTGTTAGTATGGTTGTATCTTGAATTTATATATTTATCGTTGCTTTGTGTCGCTATGACAGATCGTGTTAGCATGATTGTAACTTAAATTTGTGCATTTATCGTTGTTTTGTGTAGCTATAATTTGTTTATTTGTTGTTTTTTTCTTTTAAATGCCTCCGACGCGACAACAACGAAACATAGAAAGGAGGCGTACACGTCAGCACCTGACCCTGGACAATCTCAACTAGGCTATTAGGTTACGAATGCGAGCTAACACTACCCCTAAAAGACTTTTCGTTCTCAATTTGACCCTCTATCAATGACATGTGTTGCCTGTACAGCGAGGCATTTTGAGAAGGAGAAAACCAGCCGGAATGCTTAAGGTTTATCAATAACGAAGATCAGGGATTTAGGTAATCAGGGTCTGAGTTACACAATGGTAATATTTGAGTTGACTCTTTTTAAACTCTTTTTAAACTTTGAGTTAAACTTTTTTAAATATGACTGTTATTGGTTTTGAAATAACCCCTGTAATACTTTGCAATTGCTTGAATTTGAGCAACATGTACACTAGTATATATATAGGACCTGTGTATAATTTTGGGTAACATGGAGGTCAATTTACCTTGTGTAGGCCTATATCAAAAAAGTTTAATATCTTAAATTAATCCAAACGATTCATAGTAGCCAACAGGCACAAAGTATTGTAATTATGCAAGATGTTGTAAATTTCAAACATGTGTAACAGTTAAGTTTACTGCAACAGTAGTTCGTTAGGATTGCCTATTTAAGTAAGTTGTTATTAGGTGTATAAGTCGTTCATCAAGCGTCATGAGAAACGAAATCTGTTATAGAAGTGAAAAAATACAGTTAATCAAATGGTGCTGTATATAAAATATCTGCAAATAAAATTAGAGTTTTGTCTGTACACTGTTCAGAATGACATATTTTCCTCCTCGATAAGGGTTTACCTCCTCGCAAGTTATGTCAAAAAAGGTGTAATTGTAATTTTACTAAGAAAATTAAATCCAAAAAAAGGACTGGTTAATAGAACCAGATTAATGGCGAAAGTTATGAATGATGAAGTCTTGAAATTATTACTTGAAGTTCAGCTGGAAAACGAGTGTTCCTCTAAAATTCGTCCTCGAAAAGTTGGTCTTTATCTGCTAGAGCTGCATCCCCTGCTTACAGCATGGGGAATTGTACGTAACAATTTCAAGATGCCGCGCTTTTGATGATCTAAAAATAATGGTTAAAGAACAACGAAACCAAGGTCATTTGGCTAAAGACGTTAGAGTGTTTACAAAAAGACATGGTATGTGAAGAGTTTCTTATTTAACATTTTAAAAGTAAGATAAACATTTTAACTGGTCTGTCAGTCAGTATTCTAAGCCTACTCTGTTAAAACCTTTATTAAAACAGTATTGAGCTTAAGATTTTTATTTACGGTTAGTTAAAAGTTAAGCGCTTAAAATTCTTCCTTTTTTTGTATTGAGAAGTTAAAAGGTAATTAAATTTTTTTAATGATTTTTAAATAGGTACTGTATAGTTAATATTAACTGGAAACAACTAGTCTATACTAGAGTAACAAATTACAAAATACAATACAAAGGAAAAGGGCATTCCTATGAATGCTATTGAGCATTGATTATTTAATGTATTTGGGTTTTATGATGTATTACTAACCAAAGGAATACTTACTAACCAACCGCGATACCAGTGACTTAATAACGGTCAACAGATGTTGGGTATCACGAGCTTAAAGGATCGCTAGACAAAGTTGCCCGAATCGCATGGATGGTAAAATAACTTCTGGCGATGTCTAGAGAGATTGTTATTTAGAACAAATGAAATCCTTTCTATAACATAAATGTCGGCTAATCGTGTGATTCCAAGTACTTTCGCCTGATTTGAAACATATTTCCAAGCCCGTGCCAATATTACTTGTTTCTGTTCGAAAAGGCCATTGCTGTGAGAATATCAGGTAAAACTAACATAGAAACTTGAAAAATATAAATTAACAATAAATTGGCAACATAATAAATATGGAGCATTACTGATATCGCAAGTAAAACAAAAAAGACTTAACTATATAAGTAATCGCAATGGGAAGAGAACGCGGAAGAAAATAATGTCTGTATATGCTGTATATGCTGTGTATGCTAAGATCTGTATAGTCCTTGCCTTATATAATTGACAAATGCTTATATTTGCTCCAAACAAAAAAAATACCAAACCCTTCAAATATTTAAGTTGACGGGAGCGGGACCTACCACTTCTAAAGAACGCCACCGTGTCTGTCATCCCTATTCTCTTACTTAAGAACACCCCTAAAAACCTTCACCGAATAGGTAAGGTACTATCGTAAAAATAACGAGGAACTTATATAAATCAGTTTTAATTTACAATTCTCTGGACGTACATCACTGTGAGAACCGAAGCTTTGGGGAAAGTCCACGGGTGCGGGACTTGCCACTAGGGCGGTCAATATCTTCAAAAGAACGCCACCGCGTCTGCTTTCCCTAACTTAACAACACCCTTATAAGCCCTAAATGAATAGAGACTATCATAAATATGACAAGCACCTTTTACAACTTCTTTCCATTTCCAATCAACCTGACCTGTCCTTCATCGGCGTGAGAACGAAAGTATTGGGGAAGTCCAGAGAAGCCTAGAACTGCGTAGATGAAAGAGAAGCCGCGTTGGATGACCTTGCCACCCCTTCGCATACCTTCATCAGCAATATCTCATAGTGACTTTTTACAACGCAATTTTTGTTGTCAATTTGTCTGATCTGAACAATTTAAATATTTCAAAATTAACTAAGCGAATAGCTGATTATAATTGATTATTTTTATTGGTATTTGTGTAGCCACAATATCCGGATTGAGCGTAGTAAACGAACATCAACCAGGACGTGTTTGATTGATGCGAGCGAGCTCATCTTGAAAATGAAAGAGCATTTGACATTAAACCACAATAGGACCACATGGTATATTGGATTAAAATTTGCACTGGTTATCAGTGTTCGTTGACTTTGGAAATAAGTCAAACGTCACAGTGTCTAATGCTATTCAGCAAACATTCCACATAATTAGTTCCACTATTCGATCAACTTGAAATGCTTACATTTCTTAATAAC